CTAATGTAGCATCAGATCTAGTTGAAATATACAATTAGCGCAGTAAATGTTTTTTATGAATGATTCAATTATCAATTTATCAAAGTCAGCTTTAAAATATCTTGTTTATATATGTTTCGAATTCTTCTTTTTGTGACCATTCACTCAAATCGAAATCATTCAAATATTATAGATCATGGTACATCCAAATCAATTGGTCCATGCACGATTCAAATATATTCACTGGCAATATAAGGAACGTTGGTATTTCAGCCAATGACGTTAACCAGTCGCTTCTCAAGTGATTTTCTATCAAAGTGATTTTCTATCAAATGCAAAAGCAATTTCTCTTTTAAAAAACCAACAAATTTCTGCTTCCCTATGGCCATAATCAGAGCACAAAAATGACATCAAAAGTATTTACAAATTAGTTTTACAGTCAATTTGCTTTTAAATTCCAAATCCTTTACAGATTTTGGTCTCTGCTTCCGGGCACGATGAATCGCGGAGTGGACTCGTGTAACGGCGAACGGCCGCGAAGACGATTCGCAGGTCAGTAGGGCTTTCAGTTTCACTTCATTATGTTAATTATACATTGTAGCTGTGGATACCTGTTTCTGGCGATTAATATAATAGGAGTCTTTTTCAAAGATGTTAGGTCATGTGTTGAAGACAAATCATCAGAAAGGAAGCTGAGACAAAATGCTAGGACAAAAGATTAAAATTTACACCCTACTTCTTTGTGGAATAGCTATCTCTCTGATAATACTTGTCAATCATGAAGCACCTACGTTTTATACAAAGCATCATAAAAATGTGCATCCACGACTTTTTTTCGGGCTATGGAAAAAAGGCAGCGAGAAAACCATCAAAATGGAGGTACAATTAGAGAAGACAATAAAGGTTAGAACGGGGCTCCTCAACAGCAATATATCTTTTACGTACAAAGTCTACAAGCCAATGCATTCCTTCAATAAAGCAACATTTGTTATGGAGGGATGTTCAAGCAGAGAAAATACAGAGAAATTCATTCTAATAACGGGATTTATCGACTTGAAGAGCAAGACATATCGCAAAACGCTCGGAAACCTAGCTGTAGCGTCCGAGGAAAACAACGCAAAGATTGAAGCAAGGCTAATGGAAATTATTGATGTTTTGCAGTCGAATCTTAATCACACACTGATCGACGAGATTCACGTTCTGGTAAGAGACCGGGAGACTGCCGAATATCTGCATTCGCTTCCTTTAAAGCGAAGTGAGAAGCTCGTTCTTCGAGTAGTTAACGAGGATGTGGGACTTAAATGTCAACTGCTTTATGCTGCAAGATGTCTTCCTGGCCAGTTAGTTGCAATTACCAACCAAGATAACAAAATAGGCAAAGGATGGGATCTGCCCTGGCGTCAAGTTATCGGAGACTCTCGTACAGTATATGCTTTAACAAGACATCCAGCATTAAATTCAAATTGTACTAGGTATTCAAAACGTGCTACCTGTGACGATGGTGAAATCTATTTTGGTTCTCATGATACATTTGTTTTGAAGGCAATGAAAGAATGGTCTGAGAGCACTTTCCAAGAATTGAAAGGGATTTGCCCGATTTGCCTGGAATGGAAAACCTTTTTATTTGGTTTTTTCAAACAAAAATGAAGTACCGAGTTCTGAACCCGTGCAAACTTCTATTTGTACATCACCACCATTGCGTTCCCATTCGTGGTAACAATCGTTATAGAGTTAATTCTGGAGGAAGATCTGCTGCCATTGGTTTCTCGGACAACCTGTGGGCTTGATTAGACCGAGTAGTTTAAATGACCTGCCAACAAGAAGTGACCTAGCATAGATCCCTTTAAGCTATGGTTTTTCTAACTGTTCAGAGTTGAATTGGTAAATCCTACGTGAAGTATCCAGGTTGTAGCAAATGCGTTCTTTGTCACACTTTTGCCAAGTAACCTACGTGTATATTATCAATAAGTATTATGGGTTATAATAGTAGAAAGTTACTGTGTTTAATATTTTGCATGAAAGGGCTAGAATTCTTAACGGATTCTTTGCATTTCATGAAAAGCTTATCTCTGGGATCAATTTTAAATTCCCTTTTTAATGTATTTATGAACAAATTGTTTGCTATCACCGAAGATATATAATGGCGGTGATAACGATGATACCGTCTTTTTAATTCTTAATTAAAAAATGGTAAATTTGATAATTTGCAACTACTAATGAAATAAAATAGAAAAACATTGGATAGAAACTTAACAAACACTTTCTCGGAGTTAATTGAAAAGAGATTGAGATTATATAATAAGCAGCGCCAGATTGAAACTTAAGCTATGTTCAGATTGCTCCGTATTCATTTTTATCCGTTTTCATATCGATCCGTTTTACCTGTTCACACTGCTCCGGATACATTTTAAAACGGTACGAAAACGATGAAGCGTTCACATTGCTCCGCTCTGGATAAAAAGGAAAACGCCACGAACTGGTTTACAGCACTTGCCACTGCTAATAAACTTTTCAAACAGCTCACTGCCACTTATATTCCTCCGAGTAGTATGCTAACTTCGAGTGAATCAGCCATGTTAAGAAAAGTTGTTCAAATTGGCGCGGTCTAAGTATCTTGCTGTGTTGTTGTTGTTGTTAGCGTTTTCAAAAGTATCCGTTTTCGGAGTTCACACTGCGTTTTTGCGTTTTCAAAAGCCTCCATTTTCACAAGTGTCCGTTTTCAAAGTGCGTTTTCAAAAGTCTCCGTTTTCAAGGTGGAGCAGTGTGAACGCAAGGCACAAACGGATACTTTTTTATCCGCTTTCATATGAATACGGAGCAGTGTGAGCGGGGTCTTAGTCAGTCAACGATAAATCACTCTAGGAGAGGAAGTCCAATATGTAAGAAGTTGCAATTTAAGTGTTGTCTGTTGGTTTGGCTCTTTATAATGGAGCACAAAAAATGGCATAAACACTATTCATAGAATAGTCATACTGTCATAACAAATAGCTTGCTTTTCACAAAGCAACGAAACAAGTTGCTTAAAATTACACCGAAATAATTCGCTTTTACTAATAGGCAAGTTTTATTAGAGGAAAAATATCTGCAACCATCCAGCAGCGTAATCTTGATTTGTTCATGAACGAAATTTTCAAGAAAATGATAGAATGAGATTCACAATTGGTAGAAATGGATGGAAATAGGCCAGTGAACAATTGAATCCACAATTGGGTAACTGAATTTCTTAGCTTAAAATTTTAATCATTATTCTAAAGTTTTATGCTCTGAAGAGTGTAAGACGAAAAGCTGAAATCTGTTTTCGATGTTGGTCCTATCAAAGCAAATTTGAAATTATGTATCAACAAAAAATTGTTTTTGAAAGTTTCTAGTTAAGCTTTCTATTTGCTTGCCTTTAAAATGATGAAAATCTAGGTCTGATGTTATCAGCAAGTGTTTTTTGCTTTTAAAGCAATATTTACAATTAGTTTTCCTGCATATTAATGCAGCTTCCTGCTGTTACCTGGACAGTTAGCATGTATTTATGTTTAGTGCCTTCAAAATAAGTTTGATAATCCACATCCAATATGAAATATTTTTCAGCTCATTTCAAAATCTGTTATCACTTTGTCAAGGTCGATTGACATGATGCTCATACCGGTATCACAAGCATACATTACATATTTTGTATCATGCCTCCTTTCAGTCCTAAAGTCATTGAAGCTCAACCCCAAAGAGAACAGTCACCTCGGTCTTGCCGATCTAAAAGTACAACTAAAACCTGCGATCCTGCTATCGGGCAGCATTTATCAAAAAACCCAGATTGTGCAAAAAACTATAATGGCGACATGTTTCAGATTATTGGTAAAGCCCGGTCGTCGTTCCATCTAGCAGTTTTGTAATCTATCTACATAAACACGAAAAACCGCTTTTGTGTAGACAGAAGAATTTCCTTTTCACCTTAGGACTCCATGGGCAACATCGACAATCATGTGTTCGCGTTTCTGATTGGCCGATTTTGATCGACAGCTGGGTATATATATATATATATATATTTCTCTTAAGTATCTTGAAAATGAACTAGATATATTGATTTATAACTCTGCTTTGCACCAGATGATTGAAAACAGAAAATTGCTACTTATCACAACTGATGTCATATTCACAGCTCAACGGTCCCTGATATTGACTAAGAAAATTTGATTGAATAACCCAACGGCAAAGAATTTAAAAGCATTGATTACGATTCATGGTGAAATGTCATTTTAGGCCCCGTTTACACGAGAGAAAAAGGAACGGATCCAAAAGATCCGGACCTTTTGAGTACGATATGGGTACGATCCACAAGCGTTTACACGAGATCGGATCCTAAATTATAAAGCGTTTACACGGGAACGGACCAAAATCGAATCCCTTTTTTTGCATGCGCAATGACAAGGTAATTGTTAATTTTGGCGGGAGAGTATCTAAGATGGCGTCATTTGCAAGCAACGATAAGCGTTCATTTTTACATTGACAGACGAGGAGACAGCTTTGTTGATGAAAGTAGTTATGGATTACAATGCTGCTAAAATGCAAAATGGAGAAGACTGGGGGACTGTTTTGTCGAAATACGAAGACATTCTACTTAAATTTATCGAGACCTATCCAGAAACAGCAACAGAGGACTTTCCAAATAGCTAGGATAAAGAAAAAATTAAAAAAAGGTGAAAAGAAAATAAACAAGATAAAGACAGGGTTCAGAAAGGTTGTCGACTGTGTAAAAAAGAGTGGGGGTGGGAGAGTAGTTTCTTTGTTGTATGATGAGTGCTCCGTACAACTGAAAAAAGCCTCCATTGACCCCAGCAACAGTCTCGTTTTTCTGCCGTGCCTTTGCGGATCCTCATCTTCCCGTTTACACGGCGCCGATGAAGGTACGGATCCAAATGAATTCGCTTTCGAATCATACCCAAAAAGGTACGGATCTCTCCCAGAAAAGATACGGATCCTACCCAGCCCGTGTAAACGCAAGGCCTATCGTAGCCAGTTTGGGTACGGATCATGTAAACGGGGCCTTAATGAGTGTGGAAGATTCCTGAAGGTCAATCGCAGCGGTTTTGAATATCTAGAAACAGACCGGCGGTTTCCTTGGCTTTAAAATACTTACAAGTTTGCACTCAGTTTTAACTCTATTGCAAAACCATTTGACAACCTGTTGCTATAAATAAATCTGTGGTAACGAACACAACTTGTTCTAGCGTCACCATGGTTTGCCAACCATATTGGCAGTGCTCGAGGTCAAATAGGCAACGGGGTCGAATAGAGAAGTCGGGGTCAAATCGGGAAACGTTAATATCTCAAAAATATGGACTGATATCTTAAGACAACCTCAGAATTGGATTCGGCATGCTTCAATCTTCTTTTCGGAATTTTTTTTAATTCAACTACGGTAATTTTAGCAGTATTAAATTTTTACACCCTTTTTTTATAAGAACAATTTTATAAGAACAGAGCCCCAAAATTGTTCAAAAAATAAGAACAACAAAATTAAGAAGAAGCTGAGACTATGCTTCTGTAAAATGCAATTTTGAACAACGATTTATCTCAAACCAAAAACGAGAACTTTTAGCCATGTGTGGGTGCTTTTTCGTGAATATTCAAACTTGTCGTCAAATGAAGGTTTTCTCACCAACTTGTTGGCAAATGATGCCTGAACACTACCCTAGAGTGGAAAAGCTGGCCATCGCACTGCTGACACGCTATAAGTTTTAGAACAAATTAAGAACAATCCAGCCTAAAGTTAAGATAAATTTGCAAAAAGTAAGAACAGTCAGCCTGAACTTAAATTTACTGGTTCTTATAAAAGAGAGTGTACAACATGCACTTAGCAGCATACTCTTCACTCTACAATGCGTATAAATGCGTGATGACACTTTTTTTCTTGATTTTTAACTCTACATGAGATTTTAAGGTCTTTTTACACGAGAGGAAAGGTGTGGATTCAATTGGGTCAGAATTTACGCATTAAAATCGATATGCTGCTGCTGTTTATCACATTGGTTTATCATCAATTTTTATTGAATTAACCCTATTTTAAGGTTACTTTTTCAGTGGGTGCGGTCAAACTTTTTCCGCCATGCCCTTAACCGGGCCCTTTGAGTTTGCTAGCCACCCTGCGATTTTGACACCAGACCGCCCCTCTCTGGCGATGTATGTCGAGGGATCAGAAACACTCTGATATCTCTCTCCAGACTGCACAAGCCAAAATTGTCAAGGCTATGACGGAGCATAAACATGACATATTCAATTATGAATGCTTTGTCGGCATGAATCGAAATCAATACCATTGATTTGACTTTTCTTTTCACATAATGACCAAATAAACCAAATTATTTAAGACGTTATTGTTGTCATTGCTTAGTTATTTGTCTGGACTCTCTATTTAGGAGCAAGAGACTTGCAGCAGGTCCATCATTTTTCCAATTCTCGCATATGCTTCGATATGAAAGGATCTTTTATTCCTGTAGATTGTTATTTCTTTAGATTGTTATTACTTTTTCTTATAGATTGCTAGTTGCTACCAGTTAGATAAATTTTATCTACATTCATTAAAATCTATATCTATATTTATCTGTTCATCTGTGATATAAACACACCATTATGTATTTATTGTGATTAGCAGCCACTAGTTTAAACGAAAGTTTCAAAGTTTTACTTGGAGGTAGGAGTAAGCATTAATGACCACTATTACATGTAAATACATTTATTGAAAAATTTGAAATAATATTAAGAAGAATGAATAGAAAGAAATGCCATTGAATGTGTTTTGCAAGTTCTTTACTGCATTGTGACATGAATGTTTATATTTCGCAGTTCACTAAAGAAAAAGTAAATATTACAAAGATTTTTGACAAGTAATCTTAGTTACTTGACTCTTTTTGAACCTCCTATCAATAATGCTGTTTATTTAAGAGAAATCTTTCAAATTTGGAGGTTTTAATATGATGTATATTAGAATTAAATGAATGATAATGGTTTGGGGGTTTATTTGGAGAATATTCTTCATTATTAACTAAAATAAGAACCTTAAGTTATATATGCAGGGTCAGATTTTTTTAATTCGTTTATTTTGTTCAGTTGCCTTATATGAATCAACCATATACTTGAATAAGCAAGAAGAAGCTAAATTTGATCACCAAGGGATTTAAGGGATATTGACATTTGTTGGTGTGTGATATTGTAAGATTTTAACAATGAAGTTTCGATAATTTAAATTTTAGCTAAAAGACGCATAGACAATTTATGACTGTTGCTTTTTAATTCTTTACCGTTGGGTTATTCAATCAAATTTGCGGTCTTACTTTTGGAGAATATTCTTCAGTTGATTTAGAAAGCAAAAACCAACTATGTGCTATTGTTAAGTAGTTCCTGTAGATGATGTACATTGTTCCCGCCTCTGACCAATAAATATATGCAAAATTAAAATGATCAGTGAATATAGAATAACTACAGCCAATAGTGTCACGGGTAGGCGTTTAGTAGCCACAATAGCGAAAGCTGCATGGAGTAGGCTTCAGCTGATAAATATAAAAGCCTCCACAGTTTTTTACTTTTATGGCAATAGAACCATAGCAACAAGTTGTCGACCACGCAAAACAAACTGTCCTATCCACAATCCCGTCACTGGTTGAAGGATGTGACCCACTCAGCCAGCCACCAGCGTGTGTCTTACACCTGAATTTCACTCCATAACCTTCTGGGCAACTTGTATACATCGTGGTGCCTGCTGCTCCCATGAAACGGTACCATCCCAGTGTTAGGCTACTGTCACAAGCAACAGAACCGTCAATGAAGTTTACGTGCCTATCACCACCAGTCAAGGTTGTATAAGAACCACAATCTGAATTTTCTAAAAGTTAACAGTGAGAGTCTAAAGATTTTTTTCATTACCATCCTCAGATGAGAAATATAATTTATTGAGAGAAAAATTACTATTCAACTCTAGAGAGTCAGCGAAAAATGTATTTGACAGCGTCGTATGAATGAACAACAATAGTCTAAATTTGATCATAATAATTTTTTCTAAATCAGATTAGAAATCATATCAACTTTCTTACGTGTTTGGCAGTTGGTTCCACTATACCCAAGGGCACATGTGCACGAATATTGGTTCACCAAGTTGTTACATGTTCCACTGTTTTGGCACGGAGAGCTGCTGCATTCATTGTAGTCTTCGCATGAAGAACGAGGTTCATGTGTTAATGAAGTTTATTTTCCAAGTTTAAATACGAGATCAATGACTGATCGAACTGAACATTCAAAAGACACTTTTTATTGGTTTTTTGTTTAATCAGACAATTCGTAAATATTCAAATGCTTTGAAACAATACTATTATGGATGGATTTCTTTCCATCATTATATCTTATCAATGAAATCTCTTTCGAGGTTTTACGATTTGGAGGTTTTTTACTTACCGCTTTCACAGGATGTACCTACATAACCTGCTGCGCAGGAGCAACTGTACTTGTTGACCAGATTGGTGCAAGTTCCACCATTTTGGCAAGGCGAGCTTTGGCATTCGTTGATATCTGTTGGTAGTTGAATTGAAAGGCATATTATGTATTAAATAAAATGCAACACATTCAAATTCCAAAAATCATTCAATACAATCACTTAATATTTTATTTAATCACTTAATGCATGGGTTGTTGACACACTTTTAAAAATCTAAAATGAATTTCAAAGACTTTCCATTGAATCAAGACGGCAACATAACATATAACCAAAGTATAAAAAAGGCATATTGTATCCATCCAGATTATGTAGAACCTCTTCTACTGTAGCCAACAGGACACCTAAATCAAACTTTTACTTTATAAGTAAAAGGGTGTTCTAAAATAGACCTTTGTATCGATTTGATAACTTACCGGTTTCACAATTTATACCAGCGTACCCTGGCACACAGGAGCAAGTGTACTTATTCACCAAGTTATTGCAAGCTCCACCATTTTGGCACGGTCCACTTTGGCACTCGTTGATATCTATATAAAGGTAGCTTTAGGTCAAATGGAACGTTTTCTATGAGACTATCCAGCAACTATGTATAAGAATTTCTTTAGAACAATGAATTAAATTTGAAATAGACATGCTTCATCAAATAAACAGGGGCGTTACTAACCGGATGTAGGGGTTTGAGAGAAAACATTCTTCAATATTTTCCAGGAGTTCTTCAGTGAATCCTTAGTTCGGCCGCAAAATTTCAAGTTTTTGGAAGGCACCTGCCTGACTTTGATTATAGAATTTATTTGCTTTGCCATCGGTGAAACGTAATCTTTGTAGCTTTACATTATCAAGTGGCTTGGATGGTACGTATGAATGTTAAATTCATTGAAATAAAAGGAACTCACCACTTTCACAATTTATGCCAGTGTACCCTGGCACACAGGTACAAGTGTACTTATTCACCAAGTTACTGCACGTTCCGCTATTCTGACACGGATTACTTTTGCACTCATCGATATCTGTTATAAGCAAAATCTAAGTTATCAAAAAAAATGTTCTTCATGCGATTTTGCAACAACTAAGGATTATTATAATTTTTTAACACTTGTGAAAAGACATAGCACAGGATAGTTGGTTTTGAAGAGCAAATTTTGCCACCTCCTTTCCCTTTTTGCAATAATGCTGCATTTGCAAAAGGTAAGAAGAGAAACGATATCGGAAGTTGGGAATTCCTTTTTTCTGTGTGACATGCATGATATTTATCCAAGCTATCAACATTCTTCTGGGAAAAAGAAGGGCGGAAAAGGTAGCATGCGAAAAAGAAAATAAAGATATCAAAATACAAACATAAATATCATAATACAACGCAGACTGTTCGGTATTCCAAGTAATTTTTGACAGGCTTCTGCGCCCATCAGTCAAATTTACATTTAGTATCTCAAAATCCAAAGTGATACAGTTTTCATCACCGATTATAACTTCGATAATTCTGCAAATTTATAAAAATAACTGCAAATTTATAATGATAGCGGATTTGAATCAGCTTTGAATATGTTGACATGAAAGATGTTGGTTCGCTTCATCAATTTAGATATTATTTCAGCCAATGTTGACATTAAAAAGTCGACATTGGTTCCTTCAATCAATCAGGATATAAGACCAGCCGTCATCACTTGAAAAGGACAGGGTGTCTGACTTGTTGTTAATGTTTAATTCATGTTTTCAATTTGATGCTGTTTGTTAAATGAAAAATGTTTTAGCAAGAGATTTTTACCGTTTTCACAATTCATACCATTGTACCCTGGCACACAGGAGCAACTGTACCTATTCACCAAGTTATTGCAAGTTCCACCATTTTGGCATGGTCCACTTTGGCACTCGTTGATATCTGTAAAAACAAATTGATATGCTAAAGAAGCTACCTAAAGCAGATCGTCTTATGAAAAAGCTTCATTTTCTTGTTGGATCTTTGCTCCCAAATAAAAGAATTGTCTTACCTATGCACTCGTACCCAGATAATATGCTGCATTTCTCAACACATTGATAGCCAGGATCACATACTACAAGGCGGCATCTTGGGCCTGTCTAAAATAAGAATCAGTAGAGTACAGTACAGTATAGCAAAGTAAAGTGCGGTACGGTACAGTACAGTAGAGTACGGTACAGTACAATCGATGCCGAAAAAACAGGATACAAGAAGTTGAAGATATTATATTCAAGCGCTGCTTTGAAGTAGCTAAAAATGAAAGTTAATTGTTTGATTATCCTTGGTTTCCCCATCGGCAACATTAAAAGAAAACGATGCGTTGGAAATAGAGTTACCTGGTTGATTGGTTCGTAGTGAATCCAGCCCGGCTTGTTCTCTATTACAGCTCCAGCAGTGGTTTTGTTAAAGCTTAAAATTTCACATTCACTTATTGCATCCTTCTTGAAATTCAACGATTGACACTGGTTGTTTCCAGTACATTGCTTTGCACAAAGAGGTAATCTGATGTTTTTAATTGTTTGCAAAACACCACCAACAGTTTGAGAAACAACCTTGTCTCTGTCTGTTGCAATGAAAAGTGCATCTCTCCGGCATTCTGATCGATACACATTACCAATGACGCGGTAGATGGCATTGGAAATGAGAAATACAGCAAAAAGTTGAGATAAAACTGTGCTGTTCTTGTCCATGTCTGCTCTTTTTGGGATCGAAGTAAACAAATGCCGTGTGTAATAATTTACAAAGGCGGTATCAATGCACAAGTAGCTTTTGTGAATAATTTATGACAATAATTCAGAAAGTAATCTCTGTTCGTTGTTTACAAGCACATTTATAGCAGCAATTGAATGACATAGAACATGCCTTTGCATAACATCAAATAATGTAATTATCACTTAGCAATAAATGTCGTTCTTTTTAGAAATTTTTCGCAAGGCTGCATCAAATCTAAAACAGCGCATAAGTGAAAAATGTTTCCTTGTGAGAATGCGTTCAAAGTTACTTGGAGCTAAAAATCTGCGATTGCTTTTCTACCTGCTGTCAAGCTTGCTGGTTGGTCGCAATGATCATGTTGTTTTGAACGAACCAAAAACAGGAAGAAATTGAACAGGTGTGATTTTAGACAAATACAGCTACACTAGAACGGTACCAGCACTCGATTCAGTATTCAGTACTTTAACATCAACATTTTGGACTCTTGAAGTGATTCAGTTTGTGATTCGGTTATTCTCTAATTAAGTTTGTAAGAAAGATCTTAAGCTTATTGTGAATTATAGTTGAACGCTTCTCAGGCGTCGTGTCTACGGCCCGTAGTGCCAGAACTCTCATTTTTGCTGCTGTTCACATTTTTGCGGCTCTACCACGATAAAACCAACAGTTTGGACTCTTGAAGTGACTCAGTTTGTGACTCGGCTATTCTCCCATACACTTTTCATCGTTTTGCCTTCAATGCTCCCGACATTATTACTCGAACAATACCTTGTTGTTCCAATGATGATAATCAAGCATTGAATCATTGTGATTTAGAGGGAACAGCTATAAGAACGAGCTTAAAACCTGAAATAATCTTAAGATCTAGAAGAAGATAGAGGGGTTGAAATTCAGAAATATTTCACAAACACCAACAGAGACAGTATCAGAAAATATTACTTGACTACTACTTGAAAGCGAGAAGAAGAACAAGATGGAACGGTATGCAATTAATTACATAAAGGAAGAACAGAATTAATAGTAAGAAACTTATCAAAGAGGAACTCCTAGTAGCTACAATAGAAAACATTTTATCTTTAGCAATCCAGAGGCAAAGAAACCTTAAACATCGCAAGTTTTTTCTTTTTGCAAATGATGAAAAAAATTCTTTACTCGTGATTCTCTAAGCAAGTTGTCAAAAGTGGAAAAGGAGAGCGTTTTAAGATGTAAGCAAGAACAAAATTGAAAATACATATTTTAGAAAAAATCTCAGCCAGAGTCATCTGTCTGTGCGGTCTAAAAAGCTACCTTGAATATGTGGCATCGTATTTTGATATTAGCTAACTCCGTTCTCATAACGAGTTTATAAGTATCTATAATACTTTTTTTAAAAAGCTTATATGTTGAAGAGTTAATAGAAAAAAACACTACTGAATGTGTTTTAAAAGTTCTCTTCTTCATTGTGGCTTTGCTGTTTATATTTTTGTGTTCAATAAAGCAAAAGAAAAGGATATTAAAAATGTATTTGCAATAATTGAATATAATTGATTGAGCGACGATCTTAGGCCTAGAGCAAACTTCGAGCCTGTCATGTGCCGAACTTAATAATAAAACGTTCGACTTTCATTTTTTTATTCATTTTAAAATGTCCAACCACCATATCCATTCAGTATTAATCTTAGTTACAAAAAAGTATTGATCCTAATAATAAAAAGTATAATATTAAAAAGGAAAGCAAATTAAAAGTTATAAAACCAGTACGGTTCTTCCTATCGATTTGTGCGCAGAAAGATTTATTTTCACAGCTGAGAAAATGATTTCTTAGCCCATTCGTAAACTGGGTAAGAATGGCAGACTCTCTTATTATGAGTCCAGGTTTTCAGACCTGGCACGACATTGAATCAAACATCGAACTAAACAGGTCGAGCCAATTACATCTTGAAATGATACATGGAGTATTGAAGATTGTCCTAATTTTTAGCTACCAAGTTAACTTCAATTGTTTTTGCATCCCCAACATCATTTTGCGACAGAACGTCATTAATGATAATTTATCCATCAGGTTCGGCATATAAGAGGCTCGATGTTCGATTTGAAATCGTGCCAAAGTCGTGCAACTCGAATATATCGGTCGAGCCATTTGATTTGGGTCGACCCAATTGTTTCGCGTGTGCCTAAGGCAAACGTCGTTTGGTATAGGTGGCGTCTGATCCAGGCTATTTTTGAAATTCTTATACATGATGCTCCTGTTTTAGATAGAATCTTGTCATATAAACAAATAAATGTTTTTTGCAGGAAATCTTACCGTAACAAGTTACAGAGAAAGGAAACTTAAGTAGTACAATACACTTCAGAAACTAATTTAGCTTGATCAGTTTTTGCTTCAGAAAAATTAGCCACTAGTATGTATAGAAAATTAAATTAGGCTTTCCTTAGTAAGAAAAGGCCTAATTTCATAACTAAAGGAATCAAGAAATATTGATATTTGATGGTGCATGAGATTATAAAAATTACAACTTTTAAATTTTGATAGAGTAAATTTTAGATAAAAGATACAGGAAATATTGATGAGACTGCTCCTTTTTAATTCTTTTCCTTCGGGTTATTCAATCAAATTTTTACTATTCCTTTTGGGGCGCATTTTACAGTTGTTTTAGAATGCAAAAACCAATTATGTGCTATAGAGTTCTAAAGTGTGACGTCATCGAAAACCTATTTTAGAATTTTTGAATTTTAGCCACAAAGCGTAAAAGATCACCATGAAATACTTTCAAATACGCAAAATTGGCCAAATATGTCTAAAATCGGTTGAGATATGGCTATTGAAAGATTTGAAGTTTGCTAACGAATCACTGTTATTTTGGCTCTGTTCATAAAGCTATGAACAGAGACCAAAATACAGAGGTTTGATGGGGAGAGAACCACTAAACATGTGGCCATATCTCTGCCATTTCGTAACGCACTTGCGTGATTTTGCACATTTAGAGGTATTTCATGATTCTCTTTCAGGTTATGGGATCCAAACTTAAATATTCTAAAAATAGATTTTTGTGACGTCATCACTTTAGAACTCTATTGTTAAGTAGTTCCTCTAGATAATGCACATTTATCCTGCCTCTGACCTATAAATATATGCAACATTAGAATAATTAGTGGATGGCTAAATTAAAAGAAAACGACCTTAGTTGCTAAAATATAGAATAAGTACAACCTATGGTGTCACGGGAAGACTCTTAGTAGCCGCAATAGCGAAGGCTACATCCAGGAGGAGCCTTCAGCTGATAAATGTAGAAGCCTCCACAATTTTCTACTTTTATCATTGTAGAAAAATAACAACAGTTTGACGACCACGCAAAACAAACTTTTCTATCCACTATCCCATCACTGGTTGAGGGAAGTGGCCCATTCAGCCAGCTACCAGCGTGTGTCTTACACCTGAATTTCACTCCATAACCTTCTGGGCAACTTGTGTACATCATGGTGCCTGCTGCTCCCGTAAAACGGTACCATCCCAGTGTTAGGCTACTGTCACAAGTAACAGAACCATCAATGAAATTTATATTCCTATCAGGATCACTCATTGGAGCATATGAACCACATCCTGTATTTGCTAAAAGTAAACAATGAGATTCTAAAAAAATGCCATGACAGAAATGATAACTTCTAGTTATATATAAAACAGATTCATAAATCGCTACATCTATTACACGTTCAAGATACTTAAGAATTAATGACTGTATCAAGGAACAAAATACTGTTCAATTCATCAAAGAACATATTTACACTATCATATGAAAAGCAGTGGTTTTTAATTTCGTTAAAAAAATGATCGTTAAAAAGATCGTTAAAAATACTTGTTTAAATCACATTAGAACTCAAACCCAATTTCTTACATGTTTGGCAGTTGGTTCCACTATACCTGGAGGTACATGTGCAGGAGTATTGGTTCACCAGGTTGTTGCACGTTCCTCCATTTTGGCACGGAGAGCTGCTGCATTCGTTGTAGTCTTTGAAAAAGAAATGAGGTTAATAAAGTTTATTTTAGAGATGTGTGATCGATGAAATATAACATTTTAAAAAACAAGCATATTTTCTTATGTAATCAGAAAATTTGTAAATATTCAGATGCTTTGAAAATGTATTCTTGAAGGAAAAATTATGCGTGGATTTCTTCTTATCATTGCATCGTATTTGCGAATTTATTTGAATGCCGAAATTCTTTCAGAAAAATGGATTTTTACTTACCGCTTTCGCAGTTTGTACCTATGTAACCTGCTGCGCAGGAGCAACTGTACTTGTTTACCAAATTACTGCAAGTTCCACCATATTGGCAAGGCGAGCTTTGGCACTCGTTGATATCTGTTGATAGTTGAATTCAAATCCCCAGTAAAATGCAAAACATCACACAGCATATCAAGAAAAGATTTAGCTTTTCGGTAATATAACACAGTTTAATTTAAATAAATTAGAATCTATTCGATTATAAGCTGTTGTTTATTAGCCGCCTTCGTTTATAAGCTCTGCGAATTGGGCACATGGAAAATGTAAACCACTCTTGATTAAAAGCTACACCAACGGAACCATGCAGAAGTACCTGTCTGAAATGACGGACAAAAAACTAATAGAAACTACCCTTCTTTTGTTGCTGTTGCTGTTGCTAAACGGAGGGCTTTACCTGTTCGTTCATTTCCAAGACAGCAGCAGCAAAAAGGCTGCGCGCAGGCTAATAAAAGCCAAGAATACCAGGCGGAAGCAAGATTACTTTTGCATTATGTGATGTACTCTTCTTAAAATTATTAGTGGGTTTAAACCCCCATACACCCTCCCTTTGATTTTGTAATCCCTGGATCTGGTAACAAAGGGACCAAATTCACCCCGAAATTTTGCGCGCCACCAAATCTGTTGATAAAGAGACTCTTTTTATTCACAGAACTGCATCTACCATAGCCAACTTTTGCTTTTTGAATAAGAGAGTGGTCTAAACGAAAAAGCCTTTTTTAAACATTAGATATCAATGATTAGAACTCACCGTTTTCACAATTGATACCAATGTACCCTGGCGCACAGGAGCAAGTGTACTTGTTAACCAGATTATTGCAAGTTCCACCATTCCTGCACGGTCCACTTTGGCACTCATTGATATCTGTTTAATTTAGATTTAAGTTATCAATTGAGATATTTTCCATGTGACTATAAAGCAACTCAATGCAGAGACCGCAGAAGAAGGGGGGGCTGGGGTGGCTGGGGTGGCTGGGGTTTTTATAGCCCCCAATAATTTCCACAATATAATTAAAACCACACAAAGAGACGTTCTACTCTTGATTTCTAGCATGTTTAGCCACCCAAAACATTTTAGCCCCCTCAATCCGTAATATGCTCCGCGGTTCATGACTCAATGTGGTTTTTTATAACACTGACTGAATAATTTAAAAAAACGGTAATAACCGTTTCATTCTCAATAAATAGGGACTTAATCAACTGAATTCAAGTTGATCTGCAGCAACTTCAGTTTGGTAATATCGCTAGATAGGAGGTGAAAACGGAAATGAATTTTTCTTCGCTCAAGTCTTCGTCGGTGGATTTTGCTCTTGTGACTTTACATCAAAAAGTAGATGCTACATGTGAAAATGAGGCTTGTAAGAGTGAAATGAAAGGAACTCACCGCTTTCACAATTTATACCAGTGTACCCTGGCACACAGGTACAAGTGTACTTATTCAACAAGTTATTGCAAGTTCCACCATTCTGGCACGGATTACTTTGGCACTCATTGATATCTATGGGCAATATCAATATGTAAAATTGTTTTCCTCGGTAAACCGCTAAAGAAGGTTCTCAACGCTTATTGTCTAACGAAAAAGCATCATATCCCCTCTGCAGCAACCCCGTTAAAGACTGTTTCCGGTGAGAAATCACCGAACCGGAGAGTCCGATAATCCATTTTTCCATCCCCCTACGTTTCTTTAAAGCTAAGTTCTTTAGTCCTTGGCCAGTCTTCAGTTCTTTTTTTTTGCACAAAGTCAGATTATTTGCAAGTAGATAGCCATAAGGTTTGCTGTCTTGCCTTTCTATTTGCAACCACTGATGAAGAAATCGGTAGCCGAGTTTATTACACAGGGGTTTTCAGGGGCGGATACAGAATAAAAGTTGACGGTCGCACATTAACACTGCCCAGCGAGGCGGTCTAGGGGGCCTCCCTCATGGTCAAGGGCGGAGCCATGATGAGGGCCCCCCAGAACCAGAGCAATTAGGCCCTGAAACGCTCAAATTGTTCAGTCAACCATTTTACCCTCTAAAAGGTTTTCCAAATTTTCCAGCAAATCCAACACCCAGTTGAAACAAAATATCTTGAGATTCAGAAGTGTACACTTCCTGTGCACTTCCTCCGTATAGATAAAGAAAATTGGGACTCTTCCCTTTCACAACTCACAACCTCATCCACTTTCTTCCCTTGCCAGCAATTGTGCGGCACAGTAATCTAACATAGTGTTTACAGACTTTTCGTGCCGCACAAATATGTGATAACTTGAATTTTGATTGGTGAGATTTGGTAAAATATTTGCATAACAAAGAGCCCTGCATATTTGTGCGGCACGGGCGACATGCTTAAAAATCATACAGTTTACGGTCTAGAGTGGTCTTGGAATTTTTTCTATATTGAATTAAATCGTAACATTGCGTGTGAGATCGACCAAGTTCGGTCCTGTGTTTATTGTGGTAAACATGACTGCCTTATTTCAATGACTGAAGACTAAAACTAAATTCTGAAAATCTGACGGTCTTCCGTGCGACCTGTGCGACACCCTGAATCCGCCCCTGGGGGTTTTGTTAAGAAGCTACCAAAAGCAGATCGTTTCATGAAAAAACGGTTTATTTATATAATCAATGGGATTTTTGTTTGCAGTTCAAAGAAATATCTTACCTATGCACTCGTACCCAGACAATCTGCTGCATCTCTCAACGCATTGATAGCCAGGATCACAATCTACGAGGCGGCATCTTGGGCCTGTCTACAACAAAAGTTGAGAACAGTATGATGCAGAACGACGTACAACATTTTTTGAGCAGGTAAATGATGAAAATACAACCAGTGAGGATGATGATATATTAAGGTGCCGATTTGAAATAACCCAAAAGAAAACATTGCTCGTTTGATTAGCTTTGTTTTGTCCTAGTCAGCAACACAAAAATAAGGTTATCTCAAAATAACCCTAGCATCATATACGTTGGAAAGGGTGTTACCTGGTTGATTGGTTCGTAGTGAATCCAGCCCGGCTTGTTCTCTATTACAGCTCCAGCAGTGGTTTTGTTAAAGCTTAAAATTTCACATTCACTTGTTGCAGCCTTCTTGAAATTCAGCGATTGACACTGGTTGTTTCCAGTACATTGCTTTGCGCAAATAGGTAATCTGATGTTTTTAATTGTTTGCAAAACACCACCAACAGTTTGAGAAACAACCTTGTCTCTGTCTGTTGCAATGAAAAGTGCATCTCTCCGGCATTCTGATCGATACACATTACCAATGACGCGGTAGATGGCATTGGAAATGAGAAATACAGCAAAAAGTTGAGATAAAACTGTGCTGTTCTTGTCCATGTCTGCTCTTTTTGGGATCGAAGTAAACAAATGCCGTGTGTAATAATTTACAAAGGCGGTATCAATGCACAAGTAGCTTTTGTGAATAATTTATGACAATAATTCAGAAAGCAATCTCTGTTCTTTGTTCACAAACGCTTCCGTGTTCACGATATCAATTTGATGCCATAGAAAATGCCAATGCGTGACTGTAACTATAAAATATCTTAAAACAGCACTCTACTGCTAGTATGAGACTTTAATGTAACAACGATGCTGCGAATAATGTTCTGTTTTGAAGAGAAGTCAATTCGCCTAGCTACCCTGCTTCCTTCATAAATTCTGTTGAAAAATGTCTGAAGTTAGAAGTCCACGAAAGCTTTTTTCACATAAACTTGCTGGTTGGTCGTATTGACCATGTTAATTTGAATGAACCAGAAACAGCACGATACTGAACATCTGACATGAAACCAAACTGGCACCAACCAGCAACCGATTCAGCAGCATAAAACCGGCATTGAGATCCCTACAATTCTCTCAGTTTGTGACTCGTTAATTAACGCTAATAACCACAATGTTGAAATTATGGTTCTTCCAGTTGAAATAATGCGAATTATTTAGATTTAGGGAAAGCAGATTAAGGGAATCAAAACAAGCTAAATCAGAGAGTAACCTTATAATCTTCAAAAAAATTCAGAAAAGTTGAAGTCAGCGAGTCAAAAAACTTGAATAACATACTTCAGAATATTTCACGGACAACAGGGAAAAAAGCAAAACTTATGATCTGAAATGAATAACAAGTTTGTAAACAAAAGTTACAATGTAAGGTCAAATCAAACTGAAACATTCAACATACTTGAGGATTTTTTCATCAACGTTGCACACAATATTAACATTTCTATTATTAAATTTCTAAGAACGCCAATAAAATATCGTACTGAAAGATATCTCGTTTCAATCTTCCTTTTTCTAGGCGCCTCTAGACTGAAGTACATGAACGAATCGGAGACCTCTATCGATCAAAATCGATCGGTCCTTTCAGCAAGCAAACAAAATAATTGACAATTTTAGGACTTACTGTATCGCAACCACTTATTCAAATGAACAAGTAGTTCCTCGAGGTATTTTTCCATCGAAACTTGAAACTGAAAAGAAACTTCCAAAGTCAAAAGTAGCAATTCAGTAATACTTTAATTTCTCTCCTATCCATTTTCCACTTATGGTTACAAACAAATTGGATGTGGAGCCTTCATTGATCGTTAGGAAGCTTTGATGCAGTCAATGTGATATTTTGCTAGCACGATTAAAGCACTGTGCTATTATAGGAGATGCCTCGAAAAAGCTAAACTCTGATGTTACCATTATATCAGTGTTTAATTCGTAAGTTACAACAAATGGCTATGACTCAGACGTGACGACAGCCGCTTTTTGTTGTGTTGTCCCACAAGTTTCGGCACATGGTCCTCTGCTATTTCTCATCTACATTAATGATTTAACATGTCAAGCAAGCTCAGGTTTTATCATTTTGCAGATGATAAAAATATCTACCTTGATTGCGAAGCGCTCAGCTTGTCAAAAATTAGACGAAGTACTAAAATTTGTAAACAAATATTTATCAGTCATGAATAGATAACTACATTATATTTTACTCTCCCAGCCATAAGTCAATCTCTCTTGATGTTGCAATTGAAATCAGTAGAAAACACATAACTGGGGTTACGCTGGAAGTGCCTTCTGGCTTAGTGGTCTAAGAAGCTACCTTGAGTATATGGCCCCTTCTTTCGAACGGAGATAACTTCGTTCCTCTATATAAGTATCTTTAAATCATTAGATACTCCATTATTTCCCGACAATCGTTATTTGAACACGCTAAACTGCACTAGCAGTGACTAAGAGGGACCTTGAGGCTTTAGCTTCAAATGGGAAAATTTGAGCTCCGTCTGGCATGCCTCTGGCCTTTTGACAAGACAAACCTATTTTGGCTTGGCCTTTTGACTTGAAAACTTTTAATTAAACACTGCTAGACAATTTAAGGTATCTTGGAAATCTAAAAAATTTAAGGCTATGAAAATCTAGAAAAAAGTATTGCAACCCCACATAAAAAGAGTTTTTTCACAAATAAATGTCAGGAAACGACAATGTGTCCAAAATTAGCTGCTATCCGTTGTGTCTTATGACAGAAAATAAGAAAGTATAATCTTCAAGAGGGGATAATTTTATACCAAAACAATGTTTCTGATTTTTGAAACCTATTTGAAAATTTCGAGCGTTTTTACAAGAGAATCGTCGATTTATTAGACTAGGTCTGCTTATAAGAGATGGTTTGCGTCACTCAACAAGCAATTATAATAATATGCAATAAAAATAGAAGAATATTAAGAAACATATCGAAGATTAGAGTATTAAATATCTGGGCTGTTATTCTTGAAAATGCTGTTTTGTGTATAAAAAGCATGTTTTGGAGGGTATATCCCGATAAAATGTGACAAATTACTCCATCTCTGAACTCCTGTAACACACTTTTATATGCAAAAGTACCAACTTAATTCAGCATAAAAATTAACAGGAATAGTTGATACATAATATTTTCTGGTTTCAATTCAGATGATCTGTAATTAATGTTTCTCCGCGATTCTTAAGCTGACAGCCTTCTTTTCTGTGAACTGTAGCATGCTTGCTCTTTCATTGATCAATTTTACCACCCTGTGCTCAGCTCTATACAATCACAATCATACTCTTATTTTATTTTATTTCTAATTGAATATTTTCTAATTCAGGCTCATGGCTAGGGTAGTGATACTTTCTTTGACTATTTTGTGCTGCGTAGCTGGGAAGGAGAATAAAGGTTCAAGAAAGCAACCCCCATCCCCTGTTTGTATCGTAATAGATAGGTTTGCAAGATTTCTGATCTCTATGTTGTTCAGACATTTTAGTTCATTTTACATTAAATAACGTTCTGCTTAGTTCGGCCTGCTTGTCAGAGTTTCATGTGTGAACTTCATATTTTCTGCTACAGGCCAAGTTTGCTTTGGTGTTGATTTGCAGTGGAAACTTTTTATATTCAAACGAACTGACAAAAAGTGGTCCAAAGAAACAGAAAAAATCATTTTTGTATTAGTTGTTACGCTTCTTGCTCATTTTAAATGTTAAGAATAGTGCAACTGAAACTATTAATTTACACTGCAAATACTGGTGCATTCTCAAAACGTCTTTTATATATCAACAAAGGTTATGTAGTTACCCTAAAGCGGTTAATCAAAGCATTTTTCTCAAAAAGCTGGCCTCATTAAAGGAAGACACTTAAACTTTCTAGAGCTATTAAGAGGTCGGTAGGCATAGTTATAGACACATCTGTCTTATGTCTCAGAGATGCCTCCTTTAAAAAAATTGAGGGCTTGTGTTCTTGTTTATATTTGCCCTATTGTAGCATTTTTACGAAGATTGTAGTTTGACTCTTAAAGGTGTGGAATTGGAAGTCTTGCGAAATCTGGAGTCAAACTGTTGATTATTTTATAGAAGAGGATAAGGCATCTACTCTATCGTCGGAGGTTTTTTTCACAGGACTTTCCAAGCGCAGGTTAAGACAACACTATCACTTTATTCAAAAAATTTTTGTGGGATTAAATATATGACAACATCACCGTAGTCTATATGCGGTCGAACATAGAGTTTGTACATTTCATGAACGTGTGTCGTGGTATTTTGAGAGGTATCTCAACACTTCTATTCCTTGCCTGGATTTTAAAATAACTGGTTAAATATGACTGGTAAAGGTTTATTAGAGTCTAATGTGATTCCAAGGTGTTTTCGCTCTTGGACGTTCTCGACTGGGGCGTCGTTAAAAATATAGGTGAATTACTTGGTGGATATCTTTGGAGAATGTCACCTCGACTGCCTGCATGCTAGTGTCCGGGTTGAAGGACATTCTTCATTTGTGAGTCCAAAGATTATTCAGCCTCATGGTTTATGTCAACAGCAGCTAAGTTTGAATCATGAACGACGGGGAAAATGGATGTGCCGTCCAGAGTCAGGGAAGCATTACGGTCGCACGGCCACTGACCGGAGGAAGGTACACGAAAAACAATAGAAGCTCCTACGACACACCCAAGACACGCGCACTTTCAATTGTTTTGTGAGGAAGGTTTGCCTTCTGGGATGTCTTTGTCTGGAGGAAGGTGAACAACTTTTCTCCAGACAAAGGTTAAATAGTTCAACGTTACATTTCCATCCATCTGTCAAATCGATATATATCAATTAGGAAAATATAATAAATTAGGCAATCAATATAAATTAGGAAAAACAGAGGTCCTAAGATATGAGATGTTTTACCATTCAAAACAGAACGCTGTTTTCTGTTAGCAAGGAAGCTTAGGATTATTATGAGCAGTTTACCAGAGATGCCACAGCGATGCAATTTGTATACGAGGCCCTCGTGCCAGATCGATCAAAACCCTTCGAGTTTTCAAGGTAAACAGAACCACAGAACGAGCCTCTAAAGTGGGTTTGCAGCCAAATGCTTTAAATATATGGTTAACAATGGATAAGAGCTGGTTAATCGTTGAGTCACCTTGTCGAAAACCAGATAGGTTCGAGTCGAGTAAGTTATGGATGTCTAAATGCTGATAAAGGGTATTAAATACTAGTTCTTCTAAAAGTTTACCAAATATTGGAAGGAGAGAGATTGGATGATAGTTTGGGTTCTAAGTTCTTATGGATTTAAGTTAGAACTCATTAACTGCATATATTTCCTAGTTTCTGAAAAAATAACAGTTACACTATAAACACTTATCATTTCCAAACGATTAAGACGACCAGTCCCATTATTTCACAATTCTCAATCAACAACAGAAACAGCTTGCGAATAACTCAATTTTTTAGTGAATAATCAAGGACAAGGGTGATTTATACCTTTTCTTAATATTAGGTTCCTTTTTTTCAAAAAAAATAATGCACTGCATTAATTTTTATCGAAATTAGAGGTTAAATTGCAAGATGCTACAAAAGTTTATAAATTGGACAACATACCATTCAGTCATATTTTAGAACTCAATAGCCGCAATAGCGATAGCTGCATGAAGTTGTAGGCTTAAGCTCATAAACGTAGTAGCTTCCACAATTTTTTACTCTTATCACATTAGACAAACCGCAACAACCTGACCATGCAAAACAAACTGTTCTCTCTACTATTCCTTCACTGGTTGAGGGATGAGCCCCATTCAGCCAGCCTCCACCGTGTGTTTGACACCTGTAATCAGTTCCATAACCTGGCGGACAACTTGTGTACATCATGTTCCCTGCTGATCCCATAAAACGGTACCATCCCAGTGTTAGGCTACTGTCACAAGAAGTTGTACCGTCAATGTAATTTATATTCCTATCAGCACTAGTCAAGGTTGTATATGAATTACACTCTGTACTTACTAAAAAAGATGAGAGTTTGAAAAATATTTTTATTTACAATTTTTTTAGGCATTTGATAACATCCGTGAAACAAAAAGTACGTACGTGATAGCATGGGCCATTGACCTGTGCAAATGAATCCAGTTTATGTTGATGGTAACTTCCTGATCTCGATCATTTAAAACAAAGCAGATTCGTAATTTGTTTATTCATATGCAAAAACTGTTATATCTATTTCATGTTCGAGTTTTTATGATTGCATAGACAAAAGAGATCAATTACAGGTACAAAGGCCTCGTTAAGAAATCATTACAGAATATATTTTACATCATGGTATGAACACTAATGGTTTCAATTCAATCATCAAAAAGTTTTGTTTAAAACAAATTATAACTCAAACCAAAGTTCTTACGTGTTTCGCAGTTGGTCCCAGTGTATTCAGCGGTACATGTGCACGTGTATTGATTCACCAGGTTGTTGCATGTTCCTCCGTTTTGGCATGGAGAGCTGCCGCATTCATTGACGTCTTTGCAAAAAGAACGAGGTTAAAAAAGTTTATTATCGCAGTTTAAATACGAGATCAAGGACTGATTGAACTGAATATCCAAAAGACACTCATTATTGGTTTTTTATATAATAGGACAATTCGGAAATATTCAGATGCTTTGCATTCATTGAAGTCTTTGCATAAAGAACGAGGTCAACGAGGTTTATTTGCGAAGTTTTTAACGAGGTCTGTACGTGCTTCCATAATCAAACAATTTGTAATTATTCAGATGCATTAAAGACTCATTGCTAACAATGGGCCTTTGCGAGCGTGGCGACGATCCAAACAATGGCAGTAAATTGTCTTCAATGGCGGTTAATTGATTTCAGACTGTCTAAAAATGCATTATGGGATGCTTGCGTAGCGCAATGGCCCATTGTTAGCAATGAGCCTTTAATGAATATTCTTGAAAATCTGGAAAAATTATCCACGGATCTCTTCTTATCATCAATTCTTATGTGTGGGTTTCTTTGAAAAAAATATTATTCCAGAAATGGAATTTTTTACTTACCGATTTCGCAGTTTGTACCTACATAACCCGCTGCGCAGGAGCAACTGTACTTGTTGACCAGATTGGTGCAAGTGCCACCATTTTGGCAAGGCGAGCTTTGGCACTCGTTGATATCTGTTGGTATATGAATTAAATCCCTTGTTTGAGTGCATAAAATATCAAGAGAAGACTAACTTTTACAATCATATAACACGTGATTTATTTAAAGAAAAGCCGTGTTAATGCTTTCCATGTGGGTTGAAACTACTGCTTTCGGCGTTAAGTCAAATCAATTAATTTTTTTAATTAATCGAAGTATTTTAAACGATACAGAGTGGTTTGACGTGCTGGAGCAGCTGTGCTTGTTAAGTTTATTCGTACATTTTCTACCGTTCTTTCCAGGGGCTATTCTAACTTGGTTTTGTTGCAGGATTGTGGAATGTGGTGTTGTGTTTTAAAAATCAATAATCTTGAATAATTTTTCGTAGCATGTAGAAATCGTTTAAAAAAACAAAAGAAGAGTTTATTTCAAACGATAGATAAATAATCAGTCAATCCTTAATCTAAAAAAGTTTTGGTCTTGGCTGTTTATCTTCTTCGCCTTGTTCATGTAAGGTAACGATTTCTGTACCCGTGTTCACCCCTCTAAACCAACGCTTACTTTCCCCTTTCTCTTTTTAAGATACAGGATTTGTATGGCAAAAGCAACATCACATGGAAGTTTTCAAATGATTGCATGAACAGATTTTCTTTTAAATTCACACGATTGCGGCTTTGTAGCTAGCACCCTAGCCAATGCTTGCACAAAATTTGGACATACACTTGTGTAATTTCCACATCTGGGCATATTTTCTCGTGCACATCTGCTACATTTCAAGCCAGTTTTACTGCTTTTTTATTGTTTGCATCCGTATCAGGTAAAATCACACCATCCTCTATACCCCGGAATATTTTCTGTCTCCTATGCCAATGCCAAAAATGAAGTCAAACGAAAGATTTATTTTTTAGACCAGTGGCTCTGGTTCTACCGTTGTTTCGGTTCGTTTTTTATGTAAAATTATAGCATTTCAAAACATTTACCAGAACTTGAAGTTGTGGTTTTGCAAATATTTCTAGAACAACCCCTGGTTCCTTCTAGGCAAATTACTGCGCCTGTCCTTAGCTTAAGACAAAGAGGTTCTTGTTATTCATTATATAGAGCTACTACTACTGTTGCGAACAGGACCCCTAATTGTGACTAGTGCTTTTGTAAATAGGAAGGTTGTTAAAAAGATACGGTTTACTTCTACCAATTTACTGATTGCCTTCTAAAAAGAAGCCTAACATCAGTGTTTAAAGAAAAAATAAAGAGAAACAAAATACATGTACATGAAAAAATACATAACACGAGCGCAAGAAAACATGCAGACTGGACCCCCTAACCCGCATACAGGCAGCCATCGCCCCCAGCCCTTTTTGCTACCTTGACAACAACCGGAGGTGGCAAAAATGTCCAAACAGCCAAAAAGAACGGCTATAAAAAAGTTGAAAATCATAGAGTTTTAAACATCTAATGAACTGCAGGTGTTAATGGTGCTACATTATTTAGAGTTAAGAAAATTTGACAAAGGGCAATCCTATTGGTCCTTGGACACAACCACCACCCCCACAACTATCAGGACAGCCTTACCCAAAGGACAGCAGCAGCCACCCACCCCCAAGCAAAGGATCTCACTCCGCACCCGTGCTACATACACGTAAACAAAACAACAACTACAACTTTTTTCTACTGTAGGTTAAATTCAATTTAACATTACAATGGTTTGTTCAAAGATATGATAACTCACCGGTTTCACAATTTAAACCAGTATACCCTGGCACACAGGAGCAATTGTACTTATTCACCAAGTTATAACAAGTTCCATCATTCTGACACGGTACACTTTGGCACTCGTTGATATCTGTATTAATTTAGATATAATTTAAGAAATTCAATCTTTTCTATGTGACTATAAAGCAACAAACTGTGTTTTTTTCTAACTCGGGCTGAATTATTTTATACTAAAATTAAAAGGTAATAATTGTTTCATTCAACAAACAGGGCCTTGATTAATTGGGTTGAAGTTGATCTGCAAAAACTTGAGTTTGGGATAATCGTTTGATAGAAGGTGTATTCAAAAATGAATTTTTCTTTGATCAAGTCTTCGTTTGTTAATTTACTCTTTGTGCTTTACATTATCAAGTGGATGCTACCTATGAAAGTATGAAAGTGAGGTTTATTAGAGTACAACGAAATGAACTTACCGGTTTCACAATTTATACCAGTGTACCCAGGCACACAAGTACAAGTGTACTTGTTCACCAAGTTACTGCAAGCTCCACCATTCTGGCATGGTCCACTTTGGCACTCATCGATATCTATTTGTATAAATGGTCCAAGATCATTACAATAAAACTTTGAATTAAAAATATCGTCAGAGAGACTCCTTTCAAATAATCGAATGACCCCCGGGCATTTTTCTGCTACCCCTGAATGCAGAGAATTTGCAGCCAAGTTCAGAAGTTTCCATTTTGGCACGACACAATAACACAAGAATGTTTTAAAGTCGTAAGCATATTTGCCTATTTGATCATGTTCTAGATTGGAATAGTTGAGAGAGAGAAAATAAGAATTAACTTAGAGGAAATCTCTTTAAAGTTTGAATTTCTCGTCGCTTTGTAAGTGTAGTCAGAAGAAAGCAATTAGCTAGTTAAAAAGTGAAACATTTATCAACATGCTTAAAATGACATGATAATTGACGTTATTAAAAAGTATCCAACTCTTAATTAATAAATAATTCTGTTCTGCTACACTAGACCTCTACTCATAACATCTCTGCACGATAATCACTTATAACAAAACATGCACTCATTATTCCTTTGAACCTTTTCGATTCATTGTGCCATATTCTTAAGAAGGGTGAACCAGAGCCATATTAATTTCATACTGCCATTATAAGCAAAGGAATTTACTTGCTTTTCCAATTAAAAAATCAACCGTCTTTTTTCAGGGCATGTCACCACATATGTTAATGCAAAAATTAAGGGCGGATTAAGGGGTGGGCCCAAAAGGCCCGAGCCGTTGGCCACCTACCCAGAAGGGGCCTCCCACCAAAAAAGGCAGTAAACTTTCATATAATTCTAGCTATTGTTCCTACCAAAATTTTAAAACTCTAGAAAAACCTCATTCTACAACGCTGGACTTTCAAAATAACAAAAATATTGAGTATTATTCACTGTTCATTCTCAAACACATGTCCGTTTTCAGCTTCTCGTTCTATTTCATCATCAACAAAAAAGATATCCAGCTTTACATTCTTGTCTTTCGCCATATTTCGCCATTTTGAGTTCTCTAGGAGTTGAACTGATGCTTCAACTGGCACTTCACAATTTCTTCGAAAAATTGCTTTCTAACGTTCCAACGTTTCAGTTTCGTTTCAACTTTTAACTCGCAATCTATCCGAAAATCTAATCCCCTCTTTGCAATTGCCATGAATTTTCCATTTGTTGCATTGACATCAAAATGTTCATTCTTCATTTTTTTACTCGCCAAAGTTGTTTCTTTTCACTGAAATTTTTTAAGTGCTAACCTACCTTTACACCGAATTTAAAATAATATGACCTACTTTTACACCAAATTAAAAAAATATGACCAAAAGTTTTTCCACCGAAAATCAAATCGCCAAAATTTTGGCACCGCATTTGTTGGTTCGGTGGAATCCAATTGTAACGAACTTCCCGGTATAACGAACTAAATGTCTGGTTCCTTGGACAAGCTCTTTACAAATTCTCTCTGTATAACAAACCCTGGATGTAACGAACTCTAGATACTACGAACCAACCTTCGGGTCCGTTCGTCGTAATTACCCTCGATATAATGAGCTTACCATAGCTTCTTCATCTATTATTTATGCCTAATCATTTTCGGTGTTCATTTATCAATTTATCTTGGGAGAAATCATTATGGTTATCGGCAAAACTTGCTGATGATTAAATCACTAGCTGATAGACTCAAAGCACAAGATGAGACATTGGCAATGAGCGGCGATATGATTTTATTGGAAGACCCAAATGGAATATTAAAAGAAGAGAACAAATAAGAATGTAAAGTAGTCAGAAACGTTATTCAGCCACCGACAAAAAGTGATGTGATACCAGCTTTGCCAATCACTTGGCCCTAAATTACGGGACCACCGGAGCCGGGGGCAACGGGGGCAAAGCTCCCCTGATTGGAAAAAATGTAAAAAGTGCCCATCTTTAAAAAAATGTTGCGTGTTCTATTTACACTGCCACAGCCAGATAATTTGCCTTTAGACGCCAATTAAAACAACTTTAATCAAGGCGTTGCTTCTGCGATTCTCAATTTCCAACATCTACTGCCAAGGAGACTGTCTCTTTGGCAAGAAAAATTTCCTCGGTGGGTTGCCAGTAGTTTCTCAGCTGGTTACACACCGCATTCTCTCTAAGGAACTTTGGGGTTGCTCATTTTTTTGCCTCAAAGAGGGGGTGCTTATTAGAAAGGAGCGCTCAATAGAGAGGTGCGCTCATTGAAATAGATAGAAGTCCACCAATAGAATAATGAGCTTTGAAATTCAAACGATCACTGTTTTTACAAAAATTAATATTGCATTTGGCTCATACTTGTTTGAGGCAAAACAATCACAAGATGCCAATTCTTCCGAGTCGAAACCTTCGTTGATTTGCATAAATACTCATGTGGTATCTTGAATATCCAAATTTTCAATACCATCGAATGAATTTGCATCTGGTTCTTTCAGAATTTGAAGAAAACCTTTTCATATTGAAATAGCATAGGATTTCTTAAATATATTTAGCACATGATTGACTATTGCGATGATTTGCTTTTGTCCATATGTTTACATAATTTTTTGGGAGGGTGCTCATTAGAGAGAGGATGGCTCAGTTGTTAAAGGCGCTGACTACAGACCCAAGGGTCCGTGGTTCGAGTCCCTGGCATGACCAAACTTTCACCCCGAGTGGGAAGAGTCGCCAGCTCTCTGTAATTCCAGGCGTAGGAATCACGAGGTGTGGTCACATCGATAGGAAGGACCAGGACACTGCTCGATAAGCATAGCTTCTCAGTGTCCTAAAAACTACCTTCGGATGCTAGGTAGCAACAAATTCATAGGTCAACCGGCACACTACTACGCAATGTATGCAATCTCGGAAATTCAATTGGTCTAAAGATAAAAGTTTAGCTGTTTATTTTTGTCTTGCCAAATTTTGAAATAGATAGAGACTGAAAACTTGCTTTGAAACAGACAGAGATTGGGAATTTGCTTTGAAATGAAACAGAGCCTGAAAATTCGATAATTTCTTTTATTTTTGTACATTATATTTCCGGTTTCACTTGTATGCTTTTATTACTTTTGCATGAATGATTGCATTAATGTGGATTTATTTTTCTTTGGTATGTTGTAATTAATCAGAATTTTGTCGAATATAATGCACCTGCCAAAAGTATGGGGGATGATGTGAGCTTGTCGCTTCACCGGGGCCACCTCTACATACAATAAAAATTAAAAGCAAAAATAAGTAAATATAATTTTAAAGAAAATATGAATTATGCATTGACGAAAGATTTACACAAGATTTTCAAACAAAAAACTTCAGCGTTTAATGAAAAAGCTTGTGGGATTCTTGATAATTGTTAGATAAAATTGCCTTACCTATGCACTCGTACCCAGATAATATACTGCACCTCTCAACGCACTGATAGCCAGGCTCACAATCTACGAGGCGGCATCTTGGGCCAGTCTAAAAAGAAAATACAGCAGAGTACATTACAGGTCTGTACCGTACAGTTCTGGCACCGCGGAGCAAAGGGGCTAGGGGAGGGGGCTTTAGCCAAATATTAAGTAATGAACTATTAGTAAAGCCTATATCTGTGCGGTTTTAGGCCCCCCCCCCTTCTTTTAGACCCCTCACTTCTCTCAACGCTCCGCGGTCCCTGTAGTCGGTGTCGAAAATACAAGAACTGAGCATATTGAATTCAAGCATTGATCTAAAATACACTCTTCTCTATAGGGAACCTAGCTCGAGGCCTATAAGTTCTTCTAGAAAATTGCCTAAATGGATTTTCAATTTAAATGTACATTTGGTGCCATGAAAATTCAACATAATACATTGAAGTTTTGAATTAGCGTTGCTGGATTTTTTACTGTAGCTAAAAAACTAGATGAAAAACAGAGCAAAGACTAGAAAGAGGTTTGATACATGAAAAAGTGGAAATTCAATGAAGAAGGAAAATGAAACACTGGAAACTAAACAATGATGCAACCGATAGCTACCTTCGCAACACGCAATTTATGTGATTTTTAATTAAAAATGATTGAAACCGGCTTCCTAATTCTTGATTGTTTGCAATGATTAAAAACTTCAAAATTTAAAAGTTCCTGAAGGATTTTTGTCTTTGGTACTAACGGTTCTTTAATTTTCTTTCTGCTTCTACATGTAGGTTCGTTATAAAATGTTTCCTTATGAAAAAAATGTGTATTCCAAAAAAGCAGCTTGCTTGATTAGCCTTGTTTTGCCCCATCGGTAGCAAAAATAACAAAATCTCTTTACCTTAGCATTCTAAGGAGTTGGAAATTGAGTTACCTGGTTGATTGGTTCGTAGTGAATCCAGCCCGGCTTATTCTCTATTACAGCTCCAGCAGAGGTTTTGTTAAAGCTTAAAATTTCACATTCACTTGTTGCAGCCTTCTTGAAATTCAGCGATTGACACTGGTTGTTTCCAGTACATTGCTTTGCACAAAGAGGTAATCTGATGTTTTTAATTGTTTGCAAAACACCACCAACAGTTTGAGAAACAACCTTGTCTCTGTCTGTTGCAACCAAAAGTGCATCTCTCCGGCATTCTGATCGATACACATTACCAATGACGCGGTAGATAGTATTGGAAATGAGAAATACAGCAAAAAGTTGAGATAAAGCTGTGCTGTTCTTGGCCATGACTGTTCACTGTGACATCACAATTTACTGATGCTGTTGCTTCAAAATACAAAGAATAGGATGAGAATAGGCATAAATAATTAACGAGCAAAAGGGTTAGGCTTCAAATTTAGACCTACTTACCATGAACGAGTTGCATTAATATATTTATCTACAGGGAAGCTTTTTTTTAAAAAACTCTTCCCTGATTTTCGACATTTAATGTCATGTTTAGTTACTGCTTTGTTTCTCACCCAGCTACATTGGTGGGCTCCAGACACAACTTTTGAAAAAAATCATTTTGTTTTGCTCTCTAAAAGAATTACTTGCTCACTGGAGACTTGAACGAAAAAAGCACGAGAAAGAAGCAAATGTGTGTTTTAGTATTCTGCAACTGAGAATATTGGTCTTTCTTGTTACTTACCTTCCAGATACTAAAATTCGAAAGGTCACAACAATACTTTTTGAGGGACAGAATGATTTCAGGAAAATATTAATGTCAGACGAAACAGAACCAAACCAAGATTTATGATGAAGGATATTGATAGAGATTTTCAAAATTCAAGTGTTGTTCGTCTGGGGCACAGACTAGATAGGCATCAGACCCTCAACAGCTGTATATGAAGATTTGAAATATTGCTAAGCAGCCCCTTAGGGTTATTATTTACCATAATCATAGTACCGTTTTCGTCTAGTAAAAGAGGCATCATTTTGCAACGCTAGAAACATATGAAATATCATAGTTACATGTTACATGATATTTCCTTGGAGATCTTTGTTTAGAAATTCCAATTTGGGTATTACGTAATGTTAGAATGGCCCTTTTGCATAAAGTTCATTGAAGCTATCTTCAACGATAGGGAAGCTAAGCATTAGCTTTATCTACTCCTGTGTGAATTCCTCATATTGGTACCCCACCTGTCACCTGTAAGATTCATTATTCCACAAGGTATCGACGCAACTAATTAACAACCTGCATAATTATAGAAGAGCATACTTTCGAGTCAACAAATCTTTCACCTAAGAATAGGGAAGCAAAAGATGTCGATATTTTGTTCTTATATAGAGGGGTTAATTGTCATAGATTTACTTCTAAGTATGCTCCTTCGATAACCTGTGAATTCTCGTTGAATGGACTCTATGCAATGAACCGTTGTTGTATTTCCACTCGGAAACACGGAATTGATTATTGACGTTTTGTCCTAGCTATTTCTATTTCTATCATGTGATATCTGTCATGTGCCGTAAATCTGTCATGTGAATTGGGGGGGTCAGCAAAGCGAATGAACATAAAGTATGCAGTGGGTCATGGCACCACAAGGGATTTATGGTATGTGTTATGGAAACAGTTGAGGGGCAAATTTTTTTAAAAACAAAAGTCAATATTTTTGGATTTCTCAAGACCTTCTGCTCTATAGAAAGTATTTACAGATATTCCTTATTACATTGACTTGTGTGTATGATTGGATTGATAACATTTTTCAGAGACGGCCCCAAGAAATTGAACCTTGGGAGCTAAGAATCAAGTTTACTCTCGTAGAAGGACCCACCATGGTTGGGTCCAACGCGGAAGAAAATTTTTGAAATTTTACCTTCTAGAAAGGCTAAAAAAGCACCCCCCAGACTAAATTTAATTAAATACTAGAATTGCTCAGGATAGAAAGTTTGGCGTTTCTCAGAAGAACACAGATTATTGTTTATTGGGTGAAATTTTGGAGGGGAAGAGTCATGCTTAAACCTTAGTGACAGACTTTGGGGAAATATGGGACACTGTTGTATTGATTGGTAGAAATTTACTTTCTGAACAGAAATGTGCGTCTTCCTTATTTTGACTGATTTCAGTAGGCCATGTTTACACATCAAAAATGAATACATTCTAATGATACAAAAAGTGATTTACTAAATAAAAGTAAATAATAGACAAATAATAGAAATGTACGTAAATAAGTTAGTAAATAGGTCAAATAAAATGACAGATTGCTCTCTTTTTATTTCATACTCTGTTTTCAAAAATAAAACGGTAGAAAACAGTAGAAAACGGTAAAAAACGGTAGAAAACGGTAAGTTTTTATATTGTAAAAATTATAAAAACCACTCTGCTTACAAAAATAACCTTGGTGGCTGAGGTTTGTTGCAATAACACAGAAAACGTAGTTTGGTTCTAACCGGCTACCAGGGATTTCTTTCTTCCAAGAAAAATGATGGTAATTTCTCCAAAAAAATCGTTTTGCTCCAGATTTTTGCGGGGGTCCAGTCCCCCCCGTCCCCCCCGGGATTTACGGCCCTGCTATTAGCATAGTACAGGGCCTCCGACGAAGAGGGGCCGACCCCTCCACTTCTTTGCAAAACAAATGAGGTTTACTAAAAATCTTTTGTTATGATAATTAAAATCTCCCTTGCCACCCCCCCCCCCCCCCCCCCCCCACTTTCCAACCTGCGTCGGAGCCCATGATAGTAACCGAATGCAACGATTTTTGAACTACTCGAAATATCATAACTTTAAGCGAGTTAAAATGTGATGGTGAACTGAAGTAATACTGACCTGGTAAGGGAAATTCATGAAAATAAACAAACGCATAGAATTACGTTGGTGACCATTAAGAATGTGGGTTGACTTCTGTATGATAATCATTCAGTATGAATTGATAGCACCAGTTTCTCATTTTCAGGATCTTAACCAACATTAAACAAGCGTATGGAATATTAAACCTTTTGAATGTATGTGGTAGTTGTTACCTTAGCGCTGCAGTATTTATTGACAGGTGAAATAATTGCTTTATTTGTATATGTAAAGAACTATCAATTATTATAAAACCATTCCGGCAATTGATATACCGGTAAAAAATTAAAGTACCATAAATGATTTGCTTTTGGGCTTGGTTTGTTTCCAGTGGTGACGCTAAGGAAAGATATTTGCCCCAACCACAGAATAACTATAACCAGAAGTGTCAATTGGCGTTTTCTGTTCCACTCGTGACTTAAAATTTAATAACACAAACTGAAGCGCAAACTCTCAAAGCATATTATTCAATATATCAAGATTAGAAAATGTTACACAGTGTAAAAGGTTAATGTGACAAGTAAAAAAGCACTACATTCAGGAACGCCGGAACGACAAAGGGGCAACGGGGCAGGCTTGGTTAAAAGGGAATTTGAAAGATAATTCCCAGCTTCTACAAATTCCTTCTACTAACTCCTTTTTTGGCAAAAGGAACTAAGGTTTTGAGAAATTTTGTCATGAAAAAGGGAATATAACCAGAATTTCGTTTGAATCTCTCTTATTATTACAAATGGCCGGTTTCAAGGGCACTTTAATGAAAAAGGGCACTCTGGCTCCTCTCGGCACTCCTATCAAAAGGCAGCAGGGGTGGTTGACCCACCGCGCCCCTCCCTTCTCCGGCGTCCCTGACTACATTTATAAAAATAAATTTGAAACTTTGTATTTTCTATATTGTGCTTTCGGACTCTTATTCTGATAAACCTTTTTCAGCATGTTGTGAAATTTTAGCTTTTTTCAAATCCATTTTAAAATTTTGTACCGCCAAAATTTGTTTTTAAAGAAAACCGTGTTGATTTGATTAATAGAATAGTTGAGTAATTAACTAATCAGATGTAAATTATTTTGATGAGTAAGTCATAGAATTAACCCGGGAGAGCTATCCAGCTATGACTCCTATGCTCTTCAGATGCGATTTTTAGAGAGTGTAAGGGGACATTTTTTTATTTTTCATAGTAAAGAGCAAACTGTAAGATTAAGAAAAAAGGAAATAAATAGAAAAGACAAAAATAAGAAACAATAAATTACTGTGAAACTATTTGCACTGCTTAAAAAAATACTTGAAACTACTTAAATAAATAGATCAATGAAAAATCAAAGCGTGGTTGTAAAATATAATTTAAGTTCCTTGTTGAAAATGTGTTTGCTACTGGCATTCCTTATCTCTGATGAAAGCGATTTCCAAAATTTAGATGCAATCGGGAGAGAAGTTGGTCTTCAGCTGACTGTCTGGTTTTGGTTTGTGTCCGTGACAGTTTCGAGTTATCACAAAAAAGTTATGTGAACATGTTTGGCATGTATGACATTTAACATCATACACGAATGCTCTGATTTAACTTTTTGAGCCTGGTCTAAATCTAGCAAGTTGAGTCGTTGAAAATTGGTCAGCTTTGTTCATGGCTTTTTTTCAGCAAAATCAACAATTCGAACTGTTTTCCGCAACAATAGCTTTAGAGGATCACGAGTTGTTTTGTTAGCACTATCCAAAGAACTAAAGCCTAGCCAATGCGTGCCATGGTAAGTGCATGATATAGATTTTTCAGGATAGTCTTAAGAACACATTGACATAGCTTCTTAATAAGTCTGATGCATTTTGCTCTCTTTAGCTTGACTTGATCAACTTAAATGTTTATCAATAATAACCCCAAGGGCAATGCACTCTCATTGATCCTTTCATTGATCCTTTCATTGGTTGACCTTTCGCAGTTATTGTGTGGAAGAACGTTTTGCATCAATCAAAAGCTGCACATTTGAGCAGTCGGAAAACGCTGCCATTCCTCGATAACTTTCCCGTTACTTCAGGCACCGCGGAGCAGAGGGGGGGGGGGAGGTGACACTTTTTGCATAAAAATCCAAATATTAAGCAATAAACTACCAGTAAAGCTTCATTTTATTCACCCCTTTTTTAGACCCCTCACTTTTCCCAACGCTCCGCAGTGCCTGTACTTTGATAAACAATAAATACGGTTGATATTTTCGGATTTATTGGCATACCTGACGGTCTTCAAAACATTGACGACATCTTTAGAACATTTTACGGAAATATTCATCGTTATATCTAATAAGAAAGAATTAAAAAAATTCTTTCAACATTTGTTAGCCGTTACATAAAAAGTCTTCAAAATATTAAAGTTGCCCCAATACTTTTTTTTAGGTAAGTGCATATGTCGATGCATAGATAGGACGTCTGGTGGACGATAAGACTCCAATTCAAAGCAATTCTTAACTTTTTCATCGCAAGATTCATTTAGGCGTCTCAGCCAAGATCCAAACCCCCTCCTCTCCCACTTCTCTCCCCCCATAACTCCCCCTCCCACTTCTCTCCCCCATAACTCCCCTCCCCTCCCTCCCCCGCCCCAATTCATTCAGCTCGCTTCGCCAGTAAATATAAGGTGGGTCGTTGCCGATAAGGTGGAAACCACTGAAATTCACTGTAATGGCGGCAGAAAAGATGTTGGGCCGGGTACCAAGTAGCACCCCATACGTTTCATGGTTTGAATTTCTTTTGGATAAAATTGGCAAACTTCTCAAAGAACATGTTGCATCGAAAAATGCAGGTCTGCAAATCTTTCAGTCATAACATCCATTTGATTTATGTCTTTCGTAAACGCCTCTCTGTTTGCTTCCCTGCTAGATCTACTGTAGATACCTTACCAACTTCAAAACTAGAGTTCAGCGGGCCATGAAAAACTCCACCCCGACCATGTGAATGGGGACGGTCGTTCTTATTGTATGGTATGCGTTTTATGTGATTGCGTTTGTCGCAGGTTATAATGATATCCCCCCCCCCCCCCCCCCCCCCCCCACTTTCCAACCTGCGTCGGAGCCCATGATAGTAACCGAATGCAACGATTTTTGAACTACTCGAAATATCATAACTTTAAGCGAGTTAAAATGTGATGGTGAACTGAAGTAATACTGACCTGGTAAGGGAAATTCATGAAAATAAACAAACGCATAGAATTACGTTGGTGACCATTAAGAATGTGGGTTGACTTCTGTATGATAATTATTCAGTATGAATTGATAGCACCAGTTTCTCATTTTCAGGATCTTAACCAACATTAAACAAGCGTATGGAATATTAAACCTTTTGAATGTATGTGGTAGTTGTTACCTTAGCGCTGCAGTTTTTATTGACAGGTGAAATAATTGCTTTATTTGTATATGTAAAGAACTATCAATTATTATAAAAACATTCCGGCAATTGATATACCGGTAAAAAATTAAAGTACCGTAAATGATTTGCTTTTGGGCTTGGTTTGTTTCCAGTGGTGACGCTAAGGAAAGATATTTGCCCCAACCACAGAATAACTATAACCATAAGTGTCACTCGGCGTTTTCGGTTTCACTCGTGACTTAAAATTTAATAACACAAACTGAAGCGCAAACTCTCAAATCATATTATTCAATATATCAAGATTAGAAAATGTTACACAGTGTAAAAGGTTAATGTGACAAGTAAAAAAGCACTACATTCAGGAACGCCGGAACGACAAAGGGGCAACGGGGCAGGCTTGGTTAAAAGGGAATTTGAAAGATAATTCCCAGCTTCTACAAATTCCTTCTACTAACTCCTTTTTTGGCAAAAGGAACTAAGGTTTTGAGAAATTTTGTCATGAAAAAGGGAATACAACCAGAATTTCGTTTGAATCTCTCTTATTATTACAAATGGCCGGTTTCAAGGGCATTTTAATGAAAAAGGGTCTCTGGTTCCTCTCGGCACTCCTATCAAAAGGCAGCAGGGGTGGTTGACCCACCGCGCCCCTCCCTTCTCCGGCGTCCCTGACTACATTTATAAAAATAAATTTGAAACTTTGTATTTTCTATATTGTGCTTTCGGACTCTTATTCTGATAAACCTTTTTCAGCATGTTGTGGAATTTTAGCTTTTTTCAAATCCATTTTAAAATTTTGTACCGCCAAAATTTGTTTTTAAAGAAAACCGTGTTGATTTGATTAATAGAATAGTTGAGTAATTAACTATTCAGATGTAAATTATTTTGATGAGTAAGTCATAGAATTAACCCGGGAGAGCTATCCAGCTATGACTCCTATGCTCTTCAGATGCGATTTTTAGAGAGTGTAAGGGGACATTTTTTTATTTTTCATAATAAAGAGCAAACTGTAAGATTAAGAAAAAAGGAAATAAATAGAAAAGACAAAAATAAGAAACAATAAATTACTGTGAAACTATTTGCACTGCTTAAAAAAATACTTGAAACTACTTAAATAAATAGATCAATGAAAAATCAAAGCGTGGTTGTAAAATATAATTTAAGTTCCTTGTTGAAAATGTGTTTGCTACTGGCATTCCTTATCTCTGATGAAAGCGATTTCCAAAATTTAGATGCAATCGGGAGAGTAGGTCTTCAGCTGACTGTCTGGTTTTGGTTTGTGCCCGTGACAGTTTCGAGTTATCACAAAAAAGTTATGTGAACATGTTTGGCATGTATGACATTTAACATCATACACGAATGCTCTGATTTAACTTTTTGAGCCTGGTCTAAATCTAGCAAGTTGAGTCGTTGAAAATTGGTCAGCTTTGTTCATGGCTTTTTTTTCAGCAAAATCAACAATTCGAACTGTTTTCCGCAACAATAGCTTTAGAGGATCACGAGTTGTTTTGTTAGCACTATCCAAAGAACTAAAGCCATAGCCAATGCGTGCCATGGTAAGTGCATGATATAGATTTTTCAGGATAGTCTTAAGAACACATTGACATAGCTTCTTAATAAGTCTGATGCATTTTGCTCTCTTTAGCTTGACTTGATCAACTTAAATGTTTATCAATAATAACCCCAAGGGCAATGCACTCTTATTGATCCTTTCATTGATACTTTCATTGGTTGACCTTTCGCAGTTATTGTGTGGAAGAACGTTTTGCATCAATCAAAAGCTGCACATTTGAGCAGTCGGAAAACGCTGCCATTCCTCGATAACTTTCCCGTTACTTCAGGCACCGCGGAGCAGAGGGGGGGGGGGAGGTGACACTTTTTGCATAAAAATCCAAATATTAAGCAATAAACTACCAGTAAAGCTTCATTTTATTCGCCCCTTTTTTAGACCCCTCACTTTTCCCAACGCTCCGCAGTGCCTGTACTTTGATAAACAATAAATACGGTTGATATTTTCGGATTTATTGGCATACCTGACGGTCTTCAAAACATTGACGACATCTTTAGAACATTTTACGGAAATATGCATCGTTATATCTAATAAGAAAGAATTAAAAAAATTCTTTCAACATTTGTTAGCCGTTACATAAAAAGTCTTCAAAATTTTAAAGTTGCCCCAATACTTTTTTTTAGGTAAGTGCATATGTCGATGCATAGATAGGACGTCTGGTGGACGATAAGACTCCAATTCAAAGCAATTCTTAACTTTTTCATCGCAAGATTCATTTAGGCGTCTCAGCCAAGATCCAAACCCCCTCCTCTCCCACTTCTCTCCCCCCATAACTCCCCCTCCCACTTCTCTCCCCCATAACTCCCCTCCCCTCCCTCCCCCGCCCCAATTCATTCAGCTCGCTTCGCCAGTAAATATAAGGTGGGTCGTTGCCGATAAGGTGGAAACCACTGAAATTCACTGTAATGGCGGCAGAAAAGATGTTGGGCCGGGTACCAAGTAGCACCCCATACGTTTCATGGTTTGAATTTCTTTTGGATAAAACTGGCAAACTTCTCAAAGAACATGTTGCATCGAAAAATGCAGGTCTGCAAATCTTTCAGTCATAACATCCATTTGATTTATGTCTTTCGTAAACGCCTCTCTGTTTGCTTCCCTGCTAGATCTACTGTAGATACCTTACCAACTTCAAAACTAAAGTTCAGGGCATGAAAACTCACCCGACCATGTGATGGGACGGTCGTATCTTATTGTATGTATGCGTTTTATGTATGTGCCTTGTACAGGTTATAATGATTATCCTGCCTAAGAACCCTTAAGAGAATGCTTTTAAAAATACTTGTTTGATAAAAGTTTACATTTTTTTCATCTCTCTTAAGAATCTTTGTTATAATTTACAAAATCCTTGAAAAATTTGCAAATTTTTGCTTTGTTGATGCATGCAAGGCCCCTACATCTTGCCTATCACAGTGAGTTTTACTGATTCTTATACTTTTCATAATTAATTTCTTCTCATCAGGGTTCTGACATGTATCTTCATCAAGTAGTTTGTTAAAAACTTCCATGGATACAAGGATATCATGCGATAAACCTTTTTAGGCTTTTTTGATGATGTTTATTCTAATACCTGCCCCCATTACCCAAAAATAACACTCCACAATTTTATCTCCATCAAGTGAAAGGTCATTACAGCTCCTGGGGTAAACGTGGACAAGGAGTTCCACAGGGATCAATACTTGGACCTCTATTTTTCAATATTTTCATATATGATATTTTTTACAGCCTTACTTAAGGGTCTTTATGTAATTTTGCTGATGACAACACGATATCTGTCACTGCAGCAAATTCTGATGCACTATTGCAACTTGTAAAAATTAACACCAGAAAATGTTTGGATTGGTTTAAATCTAATGAAATGATTGGGAATCCCTCTAAATTTCAAGCTATCACAACAGGCAGCAAATATAAATGCATAAATGAGTTTGAAATTGACCAAAAATTTGCTATTCAAATAGAGAAAAATGTTACTTTGCTTGGTGTTTAGATAGATGAAAATTTAAAGTTTGATGCTCATATCAATAAGGTCTGTAAAAAGCAGCTAAACAGTTAAATTCTTTAAAAAGATTGACAAGAATTATGGGCAACAGAGAAAAAAAGATAATTATGAATTAATTTATACTACGTCACTTCAATTATTGTCCATTGGTATGGATGCTATGTGGTAAAGGAAGTCAGGATTAGCTAGAGAAAATTAACAGGAGGGCATTAAGACTAGCCTATTCGGACTATTCGGAATTCAACTATTTACTTGCTAACTCAAAAGAAACTATCATACATGTCCAATCAGTTAGAATTTTAGGGCTCGAAGTTTATAAAACATTTAACAACCTTAATCCTGTTTTCATGAAAGACCATTTTGTACCCAAAACAACAGGTCATAACCTTCAACTCAAAAACCCCTTGACATTCCAAAAGCCAGAACTACCAATAATGGTATCAGATCATTAAGTTTTCAAGGGCCTAAAATCTGGAAATCACTCCCGGAATCAATAAAGACAGCACAAAATACTAGACAATTTAAGAATTTGATCAAAATTTGGTTCCTTGAAAACAAGTGTGCATGTTCGTTTTGCAGTAAATGAACTGTCTTATGCAATCCTTGAAATTGCTTCATGTTAGTCCTAATTAGTGTATATTCACTATTGTAAAAACTAACATTAAATAATCTACAATACAATCTACAATACAATACTCGTTCACCTGCATTCTAGCAAATTTTAATATTCTGATTGTAGATATTGTCACCAGTTAGAAAGGTAAATATTGTAGCTACGCCCCTATACCAGATCAATGGAAATGAAAAAATGATAATTTTATAAGTCAGCAAAACAGAAAATGATTTTGAAGTGGTAGTAAATTTGCTTAAACCTTATAGATGTAGCTTATGCTTAAAACAGGTAACATGTCCTTACGGCTTTTGGAATATGACCCTTCTGCTCTTTTATCTCCCCTTTTTCATGGCCTCCAACACAGGTTGGAAAAAGGAAGGAGGGCAAAAATCCAACATAAGCTAGATGGATTCTACACTGGTGCAGCGTCCTTGACCTGGATCCATCAACCTGTTCTTTAGCACTAAGCCCTGGAAACATTATATGTGCATCACCCACATTGATGTATCTGTTAACCTGTAATTGTTACTTGCCCCTAGATCCTTCACCACTACAGTTGTGCAAAACATTTCTCCAGAAATGCTCTATGCCTTCCCAGATAGCTGGTGGCCAGGTAAGGACTTTCAGCCCTTTCCAGTTCTCCTGTTATGCCTAGCATCTCCCAGTACAGAGGGATGATTTCCTGATAGCAGGTTGGCTGCATCAACGACTATCCACTGCAACTGAGTGATACGATAAAGATTTTTAAGGTTTTTTTCCCCTTTAAATTTTTTAAGTAATTTTAAAGCTTTAACGGTGTCGTCAGAGCAAATTTTTTATTGGGGGGGGGGGCTGTCATGGTTATAAATAATGACATGTGGGAATTTATGCTGCACAAGAAAGGACTAAAAGGGGTGTTATGCCTTGGATTACTTTTTCATTTTTAAAGTAGCTTACTTACCTAATTTTTGTTCAACATCTTCTAAATAAGTCTCTGAATGCGTTCTTAGTGTTATTATTAAGAATACTGTTTATTTCTTCTAATATTTTAAGAGTTTTTGTTAGAAAGTAGATTATTCTCTAGGCAACATCTGTTGTTTTTGCAGCCTCAAATGCCTGCAGAGAATGAAAGAACAAAACAGCTTAGGTTTCTTGCACTTGTTGTTGCCTCCTACACACACTGGGATTTGGATGAGATCGACGATAGGTATCAAAATATTGTTTGTTTATTTCCTATACATTTAAATGTGATCGTAGACAGGAACAAATATATTTTTGTGACATTTTTTTTGACAATATGTTGTTTTCCAATCAAATATCTTGGTTAGTGAGAGGTTTTAATAATTGGGTAATATGATATTTCTTATCTTCACATCTCAATAGCGAGCAAAGATATAAAATAATTAAAACTGATTGCAATGTAAAAATTTTGATTCCCTGATGAAATATTTTGGTTAATACTAGTTTGGATGTTTTTCATTTGTAATACTGATATTTTCCTATGAAGAATGCTTCCAGATAGCACCTTTCCTTTATTTCCTGTTTAAGTTGCATCTCTAAAAACACTTTAGAATAAAGAGATCTGTTCAGTTTATTGCGGAAATTTTGTAAAATCACAATTTTTGATTGCATCATTGATTTTTGTGCAATATCAAAGCTCTTGAAATCTTTCATAAGCTGAAAAAATCTCCAACATAATCTCTATTTTGTATTGTTTAGCATTCAACTGCCGTTCCAATATCTATTGATGGTTGAACTTCTACGGAATTATGGTTTATCAGAGGCAAGTTTGATTCTGTTTTCAGTTCTAATGTCCGTTTGAATCCCTTTATCAGACAAGCATTTAGGGTTACTTTAGAAGTATTTACATTTTTACATGAATATGGTATATTTTTATCTTGCTCTTTATAAGTCAGTTAATCAACTAATGCTTAGATAAAATCTACTAAAATTCTAGATAATATCATCTTTTGGCTATATAAAACTATTTTTATATGCACCATCCATTTAAAGTTTTGTTATTTTGCTAATCATTAGTTTACAGGAGGTTGATTGCTAGATAGTTCAGGCCAGAGGGGTAGTAAAGGAGGCAGTGGGGGCCTGATCCCTTCTCCAATATCCTAGAGGGTGCCCAACGGAAAATGTTTGCAGATTGAGAAACAAATATTCGCAGTGTGTAAATTGCAATATGTAGATGTAGTGTGCTAGAAAATGAGCACATGTTGCCTATTAATTCTCTCTCCAAAAATGAGCACATGTTGCCTCTTAATCCTCTCTGTTGCTTTGTACATGTTTGTTTATTACCTTTGTCCATTATTTTTGATATAGTCATTTCTATGTGCTTGTAAAAATAATTTGGGCCCCAAATGTCAAAATCCTAACTACCCCCATTGGTCCGGCTGATGGCTCTCTCAAAGGTGGTCATATATACACAAGTAACTGCCCGAAACGATCTTGATAGTCCCCTTTCTTGTTTTTCTTGCAGAATACAATAACTGGTATGTTTCAGCCTGAAGGTATGGACAACAGACTGCTTATGGTTTGGATTCTATTTCACAGATGGTATGAGATAATGATGTGTCTGTTTTGCACCATATTATGAGAATGATATCATTTTTAAGATTTTGTGCTACTTCTTCATCAAAATCTTCATAGATTTTTTATATGAAATGATTAGAAGTATCCCCCTGTTCTAGATCAAAATAGAGTCTAAAAAATACTTAAGTATGTAATTTAAGAAAGCATTTTACCAATAAACTGCTTGGGACAGTACCCTGAAATGTCTGAGGAAGAGAAAAGATCTCACCCCAAGTTTTTAAACACTCTTGAAGATCTAGAAGAGATTCAGTCTATTATTATTGTTTTTGTTGCTGTTGTTTTTTTCATCATCACCTGTTTGCCAGGAGCAGCAAAGTCGCTTGCCCAATCTTTTACTCTAATCGACCGGATTGTTCCTTTTATGTATCTCAGATGCTGTTTTTCATTCATAATACTGCATGTGTTTTTTGAACTGAGGATCATCTCTCCTTTTTTGTTACTTATTAGTATATGCTTTATTGCCCCCTTAATATGCCACCTTATCTCCAACACTCCTGAACGCAAACCACTAAAACTTGTTTTTAGAAAACTTCTGTACCTTCCGTTGTTGGTTTTTCTTAAAAATTCTAAAGTTTGCCTTTTTGATATATTTTTAGGATTGTGCGCTCTATAGTGAAGATAAGTCAGAGCAGAAAGCCGGAAAAAAGCAGAATGAGGTATTGTTTTTCTAAGTAAGTTTATTGAAGACTGAAAATCTAGTTCCCACCAACTGCACCAAAGTGTGGTTGCAATAAATATATATAATACATGCTAATTTTATTTTGATATAAACCTTCTGAAATTCAAATAAATAAATTTTTGATACAGAAGTTTTAAGTATGCATTCCAGTTTGTAAGAGCTTCAATGTAATATCTTAGAACATTTTTTGAAAGTTAATTTCATTGCAATATTTTACATGTCTCCAAACATCAAATTCTGACAATCAATGTAGTTGAGCGTGTTGTGTGTCAAGTAACGAGCAAAGATTAATACAAAGTCGTACTTATCTTTCATTTGTGTACAATATCATTATTTAATGGTATTATTTTTGCTCATCAAATTTTGACCAATAATAAAATTGTAATTGACACAAACATTATCTACTAACCTTACCTTGGGAGGTAGCCCTCTCAATTAGCCTGATCAAATAACAAAACATTGAAAGTTAAGAAGAAGAAAAAAAGAAGATTTATAAGAGGTTCTTCCAAAAAACATCAAAATCTCTGCAAATCTCTTACTTGCTATTGACTCTTGTTGCTTTATAAACCTATTCTTTTGTGTTCATGTTTGAAGGCTGAGAGAAAACAAAACCGTAGGAGAAATTTTATTTAGCACAATAACTCTGGTTGTACCTTTGATTATTTATTTTGGGTGCTCATTTTATGATTAGTCTCATTTTACATGTCTCTTATACCATTTGCAATGCATATCTTCCAGGGGCTCAGTGTTTGCTAAGCAAATCCCGAAATCAAAAGGTAGCAGTAGAATCTAGTCACTTTTAGGCATTTTTCAAGGAGAGTTCAGCCCCCCTTTCATCAGACCTACCAATCAGAGCCCCTTTGCACTACACCCCCAATTTATTTGTGTCTGATTGAGTATTATAAGCATTATACATATAGACAATATATGTATAAAGACAACTCAATCATGTGAAGAAGATCATTCTTTATTATGGAATTTAATTTTATTGTGGAATTGTCCTTCACATTGTTTACTCTTATGTACATTTGTTTTAAAGGCCTGGGAATTCAAACAGTGTTTCACAAGAAGAGCAGATGATCCCCATGGTAGATATGAATTGATATTAAGATAATTAAGAAATATTAAGAAGTAATTCACCTGAATCATTTAAGGAATTGCTACATAAGCAATAACATTCCTAGAGAAAAAAAAGCTCTTAACGGTGGAAATAAGAAGTCGAGTAAAGTTAAGTGGCTGAGTTAAGTAACATTTAAGTGACTAAATTGCGTCTAGAATAATATAGACCGTTCCTCTGCATATGTGATCTTCAAACTGTAAAAGGAATCTGTCAGTGAGATTCCATTGATAGTGTTACGCTGAAGTTCTGCAAGAGAAGCATTATATATTTTTAAAAGCGGAGAGTGCCAAGCTTGATCCAGCATGCGTGGGGTTTCTTATTGAATTGTTTCTTTCAATTCTGATGCGTAGAGCCTGAAAAGTACATTTTGTGTCTTTGCTTCACAATCATCTCAACTGATTGGCAAGAGACACAATCCAGGGCAGGTGGCGTAGAAAATTTGCACCCAATAAGCCATCAGCCTTAATGTCGATATTTCTGACATCTGAATACAACTTTCGATGGGAAGAGAATGGTTGATATTATGGTTCACCTGTCCATGCTGCCCAGCATTTATCCTGGATTTCATTTCACAACGTGTGCAATGGATTGTAGCTTATCATTGACAGTTTTCATTGTAGTTATTTTCAACAGACGAGCATATGTTAAATTCCTTAACAATTTTGATTAAGGGAGAAATTTACCTTGTTCCCCTGTTATAAGACCTACTGGTTTGCTATCGTTACTTGTATGTCGTTTATATCAATACAATCGTCGGAAATATATACACACAGTGCAGCTTGCCTATTGAAAATGTCTTCCAACTTTTCGTGTTTTAAGGCTTTATCTCCTTCGTCAAGACAATATCTTATTTTGCAGCTATATGGCTACCTACCGCACTCTCTGCATGTATTGAACCAGTGCCTCGTGCTTGAAAGAGACCTTGAAGTACCCTTTCCACGCTTGAATGATAGCAATAAAAAAGCTGTATCAAATATAGGTGAAGGTAGCAGTAATGCTGAGATGGACGTAGCTGAAGAGCAAGACGGCAGTGCTTTAGAAAACGATGCTGCTGACACTGATGAGCTGGCTACAGATACCAAAGCTACTGAGAATGTTTATGATGAAGTGATAGCTCTAAAATGTGAACATATCAAGATGCAAGTAAGTGCAGCCATCTTTTATTCACTGATATTCTACTTGTCTTTTCGATTTTGTATAAAGTCATACTGAAAATGGCTTTGAAAAAAGCAAACATTTGAGTAAACTAAAGCTTTCGTCTGACATTATCCAGAGTTTAAAACGTCAGAACATGACATCAGGACTAGACAGGGCATGTTGTTTTGTTCTATCCTCCAATCTTTCAAATCTTTCAAAGTCATATTGAATCAGTTGTATGATTGTGTAGAGCCGAGAACAAATAGCGATCATACAGACATTGACTGCGAGGAAGGCCAATCGAAACATAAGTGCCACACCCAATCACGACTTGTTTCCATTTTGTTCTGAGAAAGGCTTTCAGAGCTTTAGAATATAATTGTCCGAGGATCAGTATGGAGTATAAACACTTTTCTAGATTCTGGAGTTACGAAGATGGAAGAAAAACCATACAAAAACCGGTTTATTATGTTCATAGAAGCAAATATCTGCCCAAACACACATATTATTCCTAGAAGTACATCATTTCGGACTTCGCGGTGCCATGATGGAATTATATTGCTCGATGGATAGTTCAGATCGCTCAGGTGGGACAAACCAGCAAAAAATTCATGGTGGATAGAGGCTGTTCTTCCATTATTTTGGTCGCAAAACTTCTTTGAAATAAAGAAATATACATTTGAAATTAAAAAACTGAATTTTATAGCGACTTTTGCCCTATACCTTGTTCAGTTAAAACTTGATATCATAATGGCATGTTCCTTGGCAGCTGCATTCTACTTGGTTCGTAACTATCTGACTAAATATATTTTCAATTCTATCACAGATATTTGCAGATCTTGGCCTATTTCACTTCTTCCAAGAAGACTACCACGATGCATTCAAGCATTTCAATCAACTCTTTGAGTATATGGTACGGAAACAATCTTTATTACCTTCGTTACCTTTTTTTACAATTTTGAGGGGTTGCAAAAGCAAAGCTAAGATAATATGACATTTTACAACCCAAGAAAATGTTATAATTTCTTTATATGCTCATGTTAAAAACTGTTTACTTTCCGATTCCTGCTCTCTTGTAATTATTGTTCTTCTCCAACACAGCAGACTGTGACTTAAGCTTAACTCACTTGAAACAAACTGCTTTCAATTAAGCATGCCAACGACAGTAAATCAAAGCGATGTTACAATTACAACGAGATTACTGAACTATAAAATGTTTACAATCTGACTTTATTTTAGCAAAAAGAAAAGGAATGCAAAGCAATGAAGAGTCTACCAGATATCAAAGGTGCCTTTCTTGCCTGTTTGATGATTTGCAGTAAGACAATAAGTGATGATTTGTTACTGCAGGGAAATGTCTCGTTGATGCTGAGAGCTGAAAGATGTCTGTCAAAGAATTTTGAGGTAACCATAGATTACTGTCAGATTGATTAGGATTGTATAGGGTTGATAATGATCTTGTTTAGGTTTCATTTTTCAGATTAATCTAGAAGATCGATGGATTTATATATAATGGATTTATATATATTAGATTGAAAATAGACGAGAAAGAACCTGCAAGTTGTGAATAAGCATCTTCTGTTTTCGTTGGTTTCTTATCATTTTTTGATAGAGATGCAAAAATCCCTACAAACCTACAAACCTGGTTTGGAGGAAAATTTTGGCCAAAAATGAGGAAGTTTCATTGACAAAAACAAGATGTATATTTGTGTTCTTGTTTTTTAAATTGTTGAAAATAAATCAACGATAGTACAAAAAACAAGAAATCATGTCAAATCCGTTATAGTTGTGAGGTTATACTAAAACTTTATTCAAAGTTAAAACACCAAGCTAGAAATGTCGGTATGGTAACAGAAAGAAATTCTACGAGAAAATATTGACAAGTCAGGAAAGTTGATTCCTTGAAAATTTGGTAAGAGCCTTGATGCTGCGCTGAAACAGAAAAATATCTTGGAGAGACCATTACATTAATTCGCCTGGTACAAAACACTATTCAGCTGTACTTTAGGTAATTTTACGATGTGTTAGAATGAGAAAGGTTTAGGACATAATTTGCAGGTTTGGAGGAAGGTCAACAACTTTGTGCAACTCTGTTTTGATTAATTGTTTTTACGTAGATTTATATTGTTTGTTGTTACGTAGATTAGTTTTTCGCGGCTATCAAGGCACCTCTTGTGTTGTTTGTAAAAGTGAATGACGGAACATAGCCCAAATGTTTTAAGTTTAGTCTTGACAGAGATGTAGAAGTCAAGAGGAAATTGAGTTAACATCGAGTGCATGTGCTGCAGCAAAGAAAGTCATATAACAAACAACTTTCGATTTTCAACTATGTCCTTATAAGAATACCGCACGTTCTGGTGAAAAACCTTCAATTAAAAGCATGTTTCTCCCTTCGAAATGGTAATGAAACAAAAACAATTAAATATTCTGCAATCTTTCGGTTACGTTATTCGTAACCCTTTTAGAGCTAATCTATTTCCACTCAGAAATCTCCCCTCCACTCATCTCAACTTTCTTCGCCACTGGGGGTGGGGGGGGGGGGGTTGGGTCCAAGACAAAAACTTGAGGTAACCAGGCCTGAATCTCATGGCAGCAAACAAACCAAAACAGCTAAGCAAAGAAAAAAGGCAGCTGGGGGATATAAGAGATTAAAGCGACGCTGTGTTCAATTTTATACAGTCATTCCCTAAAGGATTTGCACCTCTAAGCTTCTTGTCTAGATAACGGGTTACGGAAAGAGCTTTTTCTGCTCTCTGACAAGCTTTTCTTTGGTACAATTGTTCATAAAAATCTAATGTTATTTTTTAGGGGCTGTATGAACTTCTGAGGGAAGATAACTTGAAGAAAGAATTACCTCTGGATTATCGAATCAACATTGAATCTCTTATTGTTGCTGAGCAACGCAAAGACCTATTGTTCTCCGTATGCGCATGCAATGCTGTCAGATGTTCACTGGCAGGAAACCTGCTTCCTAGTCCCTTTTTAAAGTCTTTAAAGAGTGTTAAAAAAGAAGAGATCGTTATTTTTATAGAGGTGATTTTCTAATAACGCTGGATTTATATCTACTCAGCTTATAAATGCCTTTTTGACAAAAGACATGATGAAATAGAGTTCTTAAGAGATGATGTCATAATATCTATTCTTAGAAAGTTTTAATTTTGACCGAAAAACCTTTATGAAATACTCTTGAATATGCAAAATTAGTTAAGTGCGTTACAAATTGACTGAAATATTGACAAATTGACCGCATGACCATCTGCAGTAATCAATGACCATTAGCAAAACTAGCTCACTTTTCTATCTAAATTTGCAACAGGTTAAAGTTATTTTATACTTCTAGAGTATTTTACGGTGTTCTTTCAGGTTATGTGATCAAAAACCAAACTTGCTTGAGAACCTTAGAAAAGCGCAACTTGTAGGTGAAGACTTTTCTTATAATGCTTTACTCATAAAACCGTGCAAGTTATTTTGTTAAAAATATCATCAGTTTCAATTCTATCTTGCAGCTTTGTAAGGATATAATTTCCAACGCCTCAAGAAGAGCGGATACTGATAATTTGAAAAGATTGCTAAGGCAAGTTTTGATATGTTCATTCCATTTTCCCTACTTCTTCGCATACTCGTTTCCATTTCCGATTTGCATAGAATACAACACAATACAGCACAGGACAGCGCAGTACAGTTCAATACAATACAATACAATACAATACAATACAATACAATACAATACAATACAATACAATACAATACAATACAATACAATACAAACAGTCATTATCATTTCATGACTGCCCATCGTTGTCAGCATCTTCTGCAAACTCATACCAACACCAGACTATTTTTTTGTAGGACCATTTCTAGATTTATTTCAAAAGACATGCGGGAAGTCCTGCTTGCGGACCAGCAACTCTCTCCCTTGTTTTCTCTAAAGGTTTGTAAGTTTCTTCTCTAACTGACTACTGCAATATAGCACTCAAGGTACTTGAAAAGTACTTGAAACATCCATCAATATGCGTTGTGTTTTTATGTTTTTGAATTCTTCTCCCGAATACTCCTACTTCCGCGCCCCCTTCCCTCTAAAAGAACTGTTGATATTTTAGAAAAATATCATAAAAGTCGCAGGAAAAAACGTACCTCCCTATCCCTTACGTGGTTTTGTAGTCAAAATACATTATTCAAAAGGGGTGACTTTGCCCTTGAAAACTGACGTCACTGTTCCAAGACTTTTGGCAGCCATTGTACCTCCTTTTAAAGAAGTTCTAACGTCAATTTTTGTGCAAATGCAAGCTACTGTTATTGTAAGTTTTGCTGGTAATATTTTTGGTTCCATTATTGTATGATTTTTGTAATAGCAATATATTAGACGTGTTTTATAGTTTGTTAGAAATGTTCATTAAATGTATTTTTGACCTGAAAATTGATTTTTCTACGATCTCCTTGATGCGTAGGGTGGTTCTGGCACAATTGCAAAAGACGCTATGGAAACTGATGACAACAATATCGTGTGTATTTCTCTAGGAGGGAGCTCGCTTCTGGAAGGTAGGACATCAAGCGGTGCAGCCAATGTTACTTTTATTTATCTCTACATGTAAGCTGCCAGCACATTTGTAACTATTCACACTTCTTATTGAAAACATAACTAGCCTTCCAGTGTTTTACGTTTCACGGAATATAGAATCTACGGAAATAAATTTCTCGAGCGAAATTTTGTATTTCAAAATCCAGCTGATACTGATATTGGCTTGTGCAGGTGATGACCGCATCTCCAGTTTGTATTAGTTTTGGGGATAAGTTACGTAAATATTAAGTGTAAGGGCAAACCTGAAAGAAAGTAGAACTGTTGCTGTATTATCCGATTTGAAAAATAAATCTTTTTACAAGTCTCATTCTCACAAGTCTTAGTCCAGATATTTATGACGTTTTAGTTTTTATTTTCTTCATTCGCACCTTATTAGCTTGCGAAACCATATCTTTTTTCATGGCAAAATATTTTCTTGCATCTTCCAAAGCTGTTAGTGATTTCAACCCCAAAGAAGATGCGCATTTTGTAAAACGTGAGGTTGCCCTTTGCACGAGCCCTGACAAACTGAAACAGCTGGCAGCACGTCTCGGGGAACTGTGCCCTGGTAAAGATATTTCCAAGGTAAAGATTGTCTTATATGTTGTTATGTGTCAGCTCAATGGGCAAGAGGCCTTCTCGCATTTTGTGTCTGCTGCACACTCATTTTTTTCAGAAACTCGCCATAAAAACGAGTACTGGCCCATCAGAGAATTTAAGAAACTTCAATTTCCGAATCAGGAAGTTAAGAAACAATTGAATTTTGAAAAATACCCAGACCTCATGAGATTTGATGGTAAAATCAATGACGTCATAATTAAGAAACTCTTAAGATACAATAAGTATTGAAATTTCCAAAAGCGTATTGATAGACTTTTTAGGCATGGACTTTCCAAATGAACATAGTCCACAAGGTGTTTGAGAAGTTTCTTTATCTTCTTAAACAAGAATACTGAAGTAGGATCTATAAAGTTGTATTAAAACCTCCGTTAACGACAGCTTCCAAGGGTAGACCAGAAAATTTACCCCCAGATTTACTGTAGTCAGAGTTTTGTAGAAGAGCTTTCAGACAAAAGGCACCATTCTACAGCCAATATCTCCAAACAGATGACAAATAACTTTGTCTACAATCCTTCCAAGTGATATAGGCCGTGTGGGGTATTTCAGAACCACATACACCCCTTGACATTTACAACACCTGGTGTCCAGATGTGTGATATATCAGTAAGAGGGCTTAAGTTTTATGTTTAATGACATGTAATTTCAAAGCGAAAATACAAATATGCCGGGAGTAATAACATGCAGCGAGATTTTCTTCAATTTCATATTGATTTACCTTAACTTATCACATTCTGTTTTTTGTTACTTTTTTCCATATGATACCAGCATCCCAGTCAATTTAGAAATTCAAACCTAACTGTTTTCCTAAAACATGGTACCCATTCTTTTAAATGCTTGTATTCCTTCCACTCCAGGGATTCCAGTGCGCTCCCTATACTGAACTGGTAAGCGAAGTTCGTGATCCGATTACCAAAATGCTTCTTCACGTTTACCTCACAAAGGCCCGAGAATTGGCTGGCAAACAGGTGTTGTATCACTCTCATTTTAAACTTTGTCTCTTTACCATTTCCTTTAAAAAGTTATGCCCTTAGTAAAATTACAATAAGTTTTGATTTTTGATTTTTACCGAGCCTGGCAAACAACATTCGCGACCATGGATTTCAGCCTCGGCATATCAAGCTGTTTATTGGTAATATCTGCAACAGCGTTTTTGTAAACAGAACAATATCACTTACAGTATTTTCCTACAACTGCCTTCTTGCCAATATTTTTAGTTGCTGGAAAACAATAATATGGTAGCCTTATACTCTTTGAATTTTATCCAATGCTAGGAACATGGCCTGAGATATGGGGTTGACACGTGACATGTGACATTGACACGTGAATGCGTAGAGGTATTGATTATGAGAGAGTTTATATAGTATATTGAAAAAAAGCAAACATTTTGAAACATGTTACTACAGCTTTTCGTCCGACACAAAGATTGCAATGGCGACAGGATTATTGGTAAAGCCCGATCATCGTTCCATCTAGCAGTTTTAGAATCCATTTACATACACATGAAAAAGCTACTATTGTGTGGACAGAAGGAGTTCGTGTTCACCATCGCCAACATATTCAATAAGTAAGCGGCACTGATTGGGCAACGTCTACAGTCATGTGCCCGCGTTTCTGATTGGCCTATTTCGACCTACAACTAGGTATAGCGTAGAGTTTTTGTTCTATATTTTGACGTTTTATACTCTAAAGAGTGTCAGGCGAAGAACTTTAGTAACATGTTTCAAAATATTTCCTTTTTTTCAAAGCCATTATATATTCTCTTTGTTTAAGGACCTTGGTCAATCGTTGAGTCTGCTGACAAGTGCATTGGAAGTTTTGAATCAATACTGTCTGCAGTCTGGGAGCAACAGTCAGACAAATAGAATAAAAAATGTCATACACCACGAGATGTTGTCTGCTAAAGTCCAACGTGAGCAAAATAAACAAGACGGCAGGTTTGTTTCTGACTGTTTGCAACACTGTGTTCGTCTCTTTGCCGCTGTTTTGTATACAAATAGTCATCATCATTTTATAACTGCCCAACTTACTGTATAGAATATATATGTCATACATCACAGGGTATTGTCTGCCTGATATACCTAAGCACAGCTTGCGAGAAGTAAATAAAACGAATTGTTTGTCTTTTATTGATTGAAGTTTTTTTCTAATAATTAATTGATGCGTTAGAATATTTATTCCATTCTATTGGCATAATTTGGCTAAAGATTTCCATATTTTAAAGTGGGAATCACATTATTTTCGTCACCCTGAATTTTGATATTAAGCAAAAATATCGATATTAATCAGCTCATTGTATAGTCCTCGTTCTAGCGTCGTGAATGTTGATACTCTGCGCCTCTGCAAAGCCTGCTACCACCACCGAGAGCAAGGTAATGGTGGTTTTTCCACAAGAACATAAGCATTTTCTAGCCACTGTTAATAGCATTCTTATGGTTAGAAATCGTACACTGGGTGTTCGTAATGGCGACAGAACCGTATTTTGCATTTCTTGTGTATAAACAAGCTCTTTTGATGACAAGTTCTGTTAAACAATATTGGAATGTTTCTAATTTTTTAAGACGCACTAAGAAGCACCTTCTTCGCCAATTAGCAATATACTGTAGCAGTGTTTTCTTACAACTGTCTAAAGTAAGATCTAGTTGTAATATTCCAATATCATTATATACTTTTACAAAATGCTGGCATAATGCTTTTTTTTCTGTATGCCTGGGGATCTCATAGAGATATTTTCTTTTTTCTTTGGAGGTATTATTTTAGAGTTTGCCTTCTCCATTCAGAATTTTTTAAAATATACTTTTTCTTATAGATCCCCTTCCTAAAAAGGAAATTTATTGTCACATTGTGTCGTACCTTTTAAACAACAAAGAGTGGCAATTTCTGATTGATGAAAGGGGAAATTTTGAAGGAGTAGCAGATTTCATGGAGGTTTGTGTCATATTGATACTTAATTCAATGCTTTGGAAGCTTAGAACAACTTTTAATTTCACCATTTATGTAAACCTAAAATATTATTTTATTTCAAGGCAAAGATTTCTTCAAATGAAATTTCCCACTTCAGATTTTATAAGTGTTCTATTTATTGCATCCACTGAAAATGTTTAACAAGGAATTGGAACTATCCTATCCTGTGTATCTTCAAGATACAGATAGGTGTCCAAAAAGAAACTGTTCCCTTCATGTCAAAAGAAAATTCTGTGGCCTGAATAATAAATTTGTCTGACTTATAACTCAGCTTAGATTCAGCAGTTTTTCGCCAGATTTAAGGTCCAAACGTGCACAATATAAAGCTATATTTCAGCATTTAAAGCAGCGTATACATTCCTGTATTTAACCATTCTATTAAAGCTGCAACATATTTTGGTAGAACCTCAGTGAATATCATTTATGCCTATTCATCATATACCAAATGTCTGGAAGCTTTTTCAGATGCATTCGTCGTTTGAACAGTAAATTAAAGAAATAATTCTTCTTGGTCTCGCAAGCTAATTTCCTCATCTGCGCCCTCAGGCATGGACTTGCAGCGTCACCCTCTGCCTACATCGTCACCCTCATCAAGATGTCCTTGTAAAATGCTTTTTAACATCTACTCTTCCGTCTTATCTTTGTTGCAGCTTGGTTGTCAGCTTGCAACGGTTTCTGTTGGTTTATCAAAAGCAGGTGATGCAGTCTGTAAACACGCAAGTGAACTGTGGAACACAGGTAGGAAATTGATTGCGAATGGACTGGGAGGTACTGTTACGGCGGGAGCCTTCAAATCTCCCTGCTAAATTAAATTTACTTCTTTTTAAATTCTATCATGTAGCAGAAAACTCCGTTGTGTTTGATAATCCAGAATGAATCGTAATTGACAATCCAGTTGAATCCCGCAAGATTGTACACTGCCGTACAACTTTCACTTAGTCGGACTGATTTTCTTTTCCCGATTTTTCCTACCTTATTCAAATAAAGATTTCGCTCAAGTCGTACATTACCTCAGTTTGTCAAGTCAAGTAGGTGCTTTGGTTTGGAGATCTTGATCAAATCGTGAGAGAGTTTAAGTAAATCAGATACCATCACCTTCACCATTAGCAGAGGTACCTTGACGGGGGTACCTTTATATATGACCCACCATTAGCAAGGGTCAAATATTACCCCATTCATTTCACCCTTGAAGTTGATGGAGCTTCACTGCATCGTTTTGGATGACCTCACTATAAAAAAGTCTATTAAAATAGCCATTGAATCACTGTGATCCATAATGTTTCTTCGATTTCTATGACAGTTATCACAATCGTATGCGACTGTGTTAGTAACAAAAGCGGACAACCTCTGATGGCCTTTGAAAGATCTCCTCAGGGTACCAGGCGTAGTCCTGCTGCCGTCACCAAGTTAGTTTAACCCCTTTTTTATTTTTTCTCTTTTTCAATCACTGCCATACGTTTTGATCTACCCACGTCAATTTTCTACTTAGATTTCAGTCAATATATCATTCTCTTGAAACAATATCTGTTTGATAAAGAAATGAAAAAGAGATCAGGAAGTTTTTATTTTTCTTGTTACATGTATGATATTTGTCTAGTTTATATCAACAGAGTATTATTTGGAAAAGAAATGAAAAAATATTCGAATGATACTTAAACTGTTAGTTGTTCCAATTAATTTTGGCAGGCATTGAATTTACTGTGTATTTTCAAAAGTTGTTTCTATTGGACCAAGTCTATAACCCTCTTTAAAAATTACCTTGCTTTTCTTACATATCGTTTGGATGGAAGATTGAAAACATTTTAAGGCTGAATTTGATAGTGCATATCAAGCATAGGACGTTATACATCCTAACTTCTGAATGCTTTATTCCGTTTTTAGGAACGACTTCATTATGTTTCTCAAAACACTCAAGGTATGTAAATACTTTATTCCGAAAATTTTTTATTCTGGTAGAATTTTAGACCTAGTAAATTATCATTTTCTCTCAATATCAATTCCACCTAGATTCCTTATTTGATTTGATAGGTTTCAGTATCTTCATATGACAGACAGGGGTGCCATTTTGACTGTATGAATCGATTGTCTATGCTATTTGGACTCTGTTATTCTCTACTTGGCTCCCTCCGCTTAAGTGCTATGATCTGCTGGTGCAGCGTTTTTCAACCACTGTGCCGTGATGTTTTGTCTTGTGTGCCGTGGGAAATTCTCCAATTTCAACTAATTGATCTAAAACAATTGAAGAGTATTTCTTCCATTCCTACAAGGCTATCAACTCTGTGCTTATCAAAAAGGCCTTGATTTCACACTGTGTGAATAAAAATATTATATTTGATTATAAAATACTTTACTTTGTATTTATTTAAATCTTATTCAAGATGCTTCGACGAGAACCTCTTTATAGTGTGACTTTAGGCCACAGGGTTTCATTTTGTAACATTGTCTGTTGGTGGAGTGCCTCATGATTTCTTGCTATGAAAAAATGTGCCGTGGATCAAAAGAGTTTGAAAAACACGGTGTTTTCCCAAGCTACAGGTTTTTCGATAGTAAAAACCAGCATTTTCTTGCACAGAGCTTTAAGAATCTTCTAGCAGAAAATTGCTCTTTTAATACTCCAAAAAAAGGAACCTATTAGCCAGACAATTTCCAATAGGCTCTTTTTTGTGCGGTTTCATCATTTAAATTATATACTTTTTTCCAAAAACCAAAAAGGTTGCAAAAAATTGAATTTTTAAAATAAAACTCAAAATGCATGTGAAATTTGAACTGTTATCATGAAACAATTATTGCTACTATTTTATACACAGTATTGTTGCATTGATCAATTTTTGGTGGACTATTGGCAACATTGGTACACTAGTAAATATTTAGAATGAAGAAAAGACCAGATTTAATACTTTTTTTTGATAATCAACAACAATATCTACTTTGTAGAAATTAAGAACCTAACTAAGAACCTATTTAGCCTAAACTGTTAATAAGTAACCCATAATACAAGAACCTGTTTTGCCAAGCTCTGAAAAAGTAGGTTCTTCCAAGCGGGTTTTTACTGTATTTTTTTCTTTTTGGTATATCTTCATTCTAACAAAAAATGAATTTCCTATCATTTCTAAAACCCGATACCAACATGCTAGTTTGATAAAAACTTGATAGTGGAGCCAATACAGATACATTTTACTACAGAGCCAATGGAACAATTTCAGTGAAACCTTTTTTGCTGATAATTTAAGTTGTTCACTATCTCTATACGGCGACCTGACTGTTCGATGTTTGTTCGTTTTTAGAACAGCACTGTGCTGTCTGTGGTGGCATCCTGCTTGATATCTATAATGAATCTTTTGAAGGTAAGTCAACCAACCCATGATAAAAACTTGTTGACGCTTCACAAATTTTAATTATAGCTTGTATGTTCGTGTCTGAGAATGAAATTTTGAGAATATTGTCATATTTATAATGAGTTATATCATTGTATTATCAAATATTCCTTAAGTAGCCATGGGTTTAAACAAGATATTTTGCAAAGGAATTTCTAACAAAAATATTTTGATATAATTTTTGTATTAGAGGTGATACCTTATTGGAGGGCCCCTTGAAATACAACTTCTGTTGAAGGGCAACCCTCCCTAAACAAATCAAATATGAAATATAAATATGAAAATACTTCATCTGTTAACAGAACAACGGTCAAGTTGAGCTTAAGGCATTGTACAGTCATATTTGGCCTACAACCCTAAACTTGTAAGTATTTTTTCATCCTTTTCATTTCATGATTTAGCTGTTTAGAAAATCGTAATTTTGAACTTTTGAAGTTTTTAAACTTTAAGCACAAGATTCGTAATGTTTTTCATAATTTTTACATGCTATAGAGTGACAGTTTCGTGCATTCCTTTATAACATTTATATTTTTTCAAGATCAAGTTTTTTCTTGATAATAAAAATTGAATATTGCTCTTGTGATTGGCAATATTTGCTTTACCAGTTTCAAGTTTCAATTTGTGGAGTAGCAACTATATGACGATAGAAAACTTATGGTTTTAGGTAATGATCATGAAGTACAGGTGTGATGATTGAAAATTTCTAAGAAAGGCCTGTAAATATTAAAAAAACGCAAGCACATGACCAATATAATTATCCAATCAGTGCTGCGAGCCTATAGGAAAAATCACCACTGGAGTCCAAGAGAGAAAACTAACTCCCCTTTCTACACAATAGCGGCTTTTTCGTTTGTTTGTAGATCGATTCCAAAACTGCTAGATGAAAACTGCGTGATAGCGTTGTCAACAACTGTGTATATATTTTCCATCTTGTACTTTCGGACTCTTCTTCTGACGTTTTATACTCAATACGAGCTTATCTCTCGACTACACGAGCTACTGCATATTCTACACAAAATTCATTCTGTCTTCAAATTGTCTTTCGTTTAGCGCAGCTTGTTTAACAAATTACAAGGAATTAAACATGGTTTTTTTGAATCGCTAGTGATAACATGGATGGCAAATGCGAGCAGATTCTGTCCGTTTTGAGTCCACTGCTGGACAAAATTATAAAGTCAGACCCGCGAAACATAGCATGGCTGAGGAACAAAGCTGACATTTATTTAGGTAACACTATTTTTTACATATAATAATTTTTTATCGCGGTCTTTCACAATGAAAAACCTTTCTGCACCGCTTTCTAGTTTTATTTTCTCTGAGATTGCGTCATACCTTGGTCTATTTTACTTTATTGATCATAATGCTTTCCTTTTTAGTTGAAGGTAAACACAGGGATGCGATGAGGCAGTATTTAGAAGTCGGAGCTATGACGTCAAACATGTTTAGCGTACCAGTCCCATTTCATGCTTGGGACGACCAGGTAAAATCAGTCATATACGAAGCTTAGCTTTTGTCATACCGTTATAATTATATTGGCAAGTTGTAAATAAGCCGAGTTTCCCTCTACTAAGCCTTCTTCTATTATGCTGCCAGGTTTTGAAAGAGCACCCAATTGATTACATTCATTGAGAACTTATTGCTAGTTTCATATAGTTAAATTTAAGAGCTTATTTGTCCAGTTTAATTTTTATATAGTTTTTTCAGGCCCCGAATTTTGTTGTTTTTGAAATATATTATGCGTGCTAAATAAGATTTTCTTAGGTAATATCAAATTTTTAAGACGCCCCCTCCTCTTCATAAGCCCCCTTCCCCGGTTCTTCTTCGAATTATAATGGTAAGTTCATCATTTACTTTCCTCATTTCTTACAAAAGCTGTTTTCACGACCCAATGCATCAACTCAATAGAGCAAAAGTAATGTAGTTTGAGAGAGATCAAGTAATTTGATTTTCTCAGTTAGCAAAAACATGGGGCTGTCACTTTCTGCCAGAATACTTTGTTCTTTAATTTTTATTTTTATTTTGGTTTGTTTGTTGTGAAATACAACTATTACTCCATGTTTCATTCCAAGATGATTTCGGTCTTCTTGGGCCCATGGATCTTTAAGCTTTTTCTTTTTTTAAATGATTTATATCGTGACCGACAAAATCATGAGCTTAAATCATGATTTTCTTGTCTTTTTGTAGATTTATCAGCGTATGATCGACTGCTGCATGAAGCAAAAGTTTTACTCACAGGTATGACAGTCGTAGACGTACTTGCATTACCTATCAATTCTGTAGCTTATTTTCATTTATCGACGTCATCTTCAAAGAAAATATTTTTAATTTGCTTTAATATCTTTCGTAAACTAAATCATCGTCTTTTAAAGGCTGTCGTCTTGTGTCAGTTTGTTGATCCAATCGACTATGGAACGGTTTTGAAATCAATCCAGGAAAATGGCAAAACGTAAGTGGATAAATTTTGTCACTTGTAACACTTTTTTCGATATTATTTAAACATTAGGAAGTATATTCTTCCTGTTTTAAGTTTTCTTATATTCCTTCAATAAGGCATTGATTCATCAAACGTTTTTATTTGACATATTTAAGGTTTGTCGACCTGCTGTCAGATCGGTTTAAATTCTTATCTTTATGCAACGGTCATAATAATTATTGAAATTTTTGTTTCAGATGTGATCTGATCGACACGACGTATGACTGTATATGGGATCCAACCATTCTCGAGTTCTTAATTTGTATCCTTTTCGGAAGTTTAGTCAACTTCACGTTAGTTTTGATTTAAACCTAAAATTCATTATTTCCACCTTCAAAGTTTAGGTCGTTCCTCTGATGATATACTTTCCGTTCAAATTTTAGAATATCTTCGTTTTTGTCAGCGTCTCGTTAACTTTTGGAGTTTTCTCTCCCCTTTTTTATTTTAACTCCTAGAGAGCTAGCAAGTCGTCTTTAATACGAGTGTATTCAACTTTGTTGTGCAAACCCCATTTAAGTCTATTTCTTTCGCCTTTGGTATATTGAAATAATTTTTTCGAGGCACCAATTTTTGCAGAAATTTAGTTGTTTTATTGGCGATATGATGACGATATAAATATATATAACTAAATTTTTGTTTCACAAAAATCAGTAGTGCTAAAGAAAAATGGCTGATAATTCCTCCTTGAAAGGATGAAACGTGTTCCGGAAAAATATAAATTGTCTTTTGTCATTGTCTTTCGTAAATATATAGACATATGTTTACTGCCAAGCTGCACCTAGAACATCTTGTATTTTAAGACAGACTTTTGTGAATCTAGCTTTCTTAACTTCGAACAAGACGCACATTCAAAACGTGGGGAAGTAGAGAAAAAGCAAATTGCTGTAAGTGTAACGTTGTTGCCATTGCACCATTGCAAAACAATTTCCATTGAAAATTTCCTACTTTGTGCAGAACATGAAATTTGAATGCCATTTTAATGTCGTCATGATATAATGTCGTCATGAAATGCAGAGTTCTACAAACTTGGCTAAAAATGCTGAGACATTTGCAAAAAAAGAAGCTACTCGCAAATCATCCGCTCCCCCCTTACCCTCAGATCAATCTTGCGATGGGATTGGTAACCAGTGCTGCAATCCCCACTTTTTCTATAACCATCTCAACTAACATTGACCAGGGGATTTAGGTCAGCAGTGTGTATAATATAAAGAAAGGTATGGCCGCGAATTCCTTTTTCGGTCAAAAGTTTCAGCTATTTTTTGCCAAGATTGTAGCTCGAATATTCCTCATTTTGGTTTATACTCTTTAGTTAATTCATTGTAGGACCTACTGCTCCCCATATGTATGTTGATTATGAATGACTGTAATAGGCCAATAATGATCACAGGTTTGCAGACTGTAGACACCCTTCATATCTAATCAGTATTTTTTCATTCCAGGTAAAGATGATCAGTCAGCCAGAAATAAACTCTTGTAATAGTCCAGAGACTTTAAAGCAAACTTCGGGCCTGAAGAAGTGCAAGTTCTTAAGGTTCCTTGCCAAATTTTATTGGAACTAGTGGGAAGCTTTTTCTTAAAGATTTAGTTAGATTTCACCTGCAATGCTTTAAGAAGAAAATGAAAATTTCAATTACTATTTTGTTTGTTTTATGTCCTTCATCATCCCTTTTATCCGCTTTTATCATCATCCGTTTATGCCCTTTTTTGCCTTCATCCAGGAAATTCAATTTGAGATCCTCCATGAATTACCTTATTGTTTAGTTTCTTAAAAATCAAAACCAACCAAGAGACTCTTCTGTTATACAAGCAAAAGTGAAATGCATAGGCTAGGCCCAAGTTTATAATGTCGAGTCTTCATTGTGCCCTTACCCTTCCACTAGCTTGTAGTTGAATTCATGAGTATGCATTTATTTGCCTAACTTTGCAATGAATAGAATGGTTTACGAATTGGCTGTCCTTATTCCTTTAACATTTTGAGCCAAAATAATATCCGTTCTCCCGATACACAATTATTTCTACAGCAAGATGGCAAAATCTCACTTCCTTCTCCCATTTACTGTAATGCTTCGATTAAGGGCGTTTATTAATTTTTCTATATTTTAGGAGGCATCTATTCGAAGGGGCGTTAAAAAGAGGGGCGTTTATCGAGTTTGTTTACTCTTCCTAGGCAATATGTTTAAAAAAGAATCTAATGATGATCGCACTTAGCGCGAAAATCTGAGTAACAACTAAAGAAGTCTGGTCTCAGAAGAAAAAAACGCTATTCGGAAGTTTTAGAGAAGGAACTTTTGAAAAGAAAGATGAAATTTCCCACTGTAACGTCTAAATTTAGAAAGAACGTCGTATATCGTAAATTTCCTTATTATTTCGCGAAATAAAGCTAAAGAAGCATGGTAGTATATTGTTTTTACTGTTCTGTGTGTTTCGATTACGTTTAAGTCGGGGCATCCATTTGAGGGGGCGTTTAATAGAGGGGGCATTTCTTAAAAAATCCTTTAAAATAGAATTTTATTCTAGGGGGCGTTTAAAAGAAGGGGCGTTTAATCGAAGCATTACGGTACGTTTTAACAATGAGAACCAAAGAAATTTCTTCAGCTGAAATTTCTGACCCTCAAACCTACTTTGACAGTCAAAAGAATCTGGACAGTCAAGTTAGTAATTAGCTCAAATCAGTCAAGAAGAAGCTGGATGGGAAAAGGTCTAGAATGCCTCCTCATATTCAACACAAGATATGTTAAATTCTTTATGGTTAATTCTTAGTTTACAATACCATTTCGGTGACCTTCAAAAATATGAGCGAGTGCTCCTATTCCGATAAGATTTAAAATTTTCTTCCTGTTTTACGGTAGCCTATGATCAGAATTTGATGACAAAAGTCAAAGAATTGTCTGCTAGGGTCACATCTTGCCCATGTCTTGACTTCTCAACATGTCTTCAACATATCTTTTTCAGTACCGAAGTTTCATCGTGGACAAAAAATTCCGATTTTTTTAAGATACTGACTGTTGATACAAAAAAATTTTTTTAGTATTTGAAAGAGATTTTGATAAAATTGCAGCAATGAATTTGTTAGCTATTGGATGAGACGTACTCCTCTATTTCTTTCTTACTTTTGGGCTTCATTAAAAATGAGAAAATATCAATAATACGAGGGTGATTGTGAAGGAGCTAAGTATTTTACATAGAGTACTTTGCAGCAACAGGCCTCTTTCCGTTGAATGATAAGTTGGCAGTCTGTGCTCTCCTAGTTGCTAAATTGTCCACAACGATGGTTTCTCAGTGGCGACAAGCAGGCCTTAAGTAAGTATTCAAAAACAATTTCTGACGTGTATATAAGTTTTGAAATAGTTCTTTAAATGCTAGTACCATGGTATTTGAATAACAACGGGCGCGTTTAGTTCTGCCGGTGCACTTAGCTAATGCAATGGCCTAAAAAATTGGACATGGCATTCTCATCTCACTCAAACTAACTCGATATAAGCAAAATTAGCAACCAGGCATTCTATTCAAAACGATTTGACTCCTAGAAAAACCATAATAGTAGAGAAATGTTCGTCAGTTTAAGCTTGAGAATCTCGTGAGACACTGGTATCTGGCAGGCCTCGTTAGAATTTGTTTTAGGCTACTCTAATTGTAATGCGATATAGGTGTAATTGCTATCCAAAGGAAATGTAAGATTTTTTTAAAGAAAAACATTATCAGTAACTAATGATCCAGGGTGCATTCCATGTACTTAGGCCCAAAAATCTTCGATGTACACTCAGGTTTTTTGACATTTGGCGTGCAAACCAACAAACAAGTTTTTGGTGTACGTAAAACTCGAAGTAAAACAAGAAGCCATGTACACAGTTAAAATGAAAAAGATTAAAACAAAGACTCACACACCAGGGTTGCCAACTGGCCTACTGGGAGGCCAAATTTGATAAATCTGGCCTTTTTTAAGAATGTTTGGCTACAAGATTAAAACCCCATAAAATCATAAAATTGATAATCATAATGTGTCCATGAACCAGACAGACACTTGAGGTAGCATTGATTTAATCCAAATGGATCAGATTGATTCAATCCAAATGGATCAATGTCTGAATTTCTCATGTAATGACGTGAAGTCATTGCGCTATACTTTATTTTTTCAACATTTTATTGACTTACTTTTTGAGTATTTCCTTTGATAACTGGGCCTCAGACAAATGAGGGGCCGAGTGACCATGCCCCCCACTTTCCTCCAAAACAATAGAGCTTTTTCAAAATCTCCTGTCATGGCTGTTAAAGTTTCCCTTAGCTCCCCCTCCTCCCCCTTTTCAACCTGTGTCGGTGCCCATGGATAATTTATTTAAATTGAGTTTGCAAACAATCTTTTGGTGGTACAAAACTTTAAACATTTTTTATCTATGTTCTAACGTTTTATAATCTGAAGAGTGCTTGACTAGAAGCTTTAGTATGACTCAAAATGTTTACTTTTTCAAAGTCATTTTGAAATAGAATTGGAAATTTTTTAGTAATCAATAACACGCATAATCGCAGAGATTGATCTACCCATTTGTAAAAAGTTACAATAGATAGTGAATGATCCTTTATTTTCTCGAGTTTCTAATCTATGTCAACCAAGTGACAAGAAGTCTTAGGAAGCGCAATATGTTTGGCTTACAGAGTCTGCTGATGGAAAGGGCAACGGATATACTGCAAACTAAGCTTGTTTTTACTTAGCCTGTGCATTATGACATCATTGTGTTATGGATAAATTTGGCCTGTTTTGACCTGATTTGGCCTATTTTCATAAACGGTTTGGTTACCTAGTACCCATACCACCTGGTAACCCTGTCACACACTATAGTTTCTCTATTAATCAGATTTATTTGTCTGGCGTACAATATTTACAGTTTTACTAACTGCTCATATGTTCACTAACTGCTAAACAAATGCCTCACTGGACCTTCGGCATGCCGTTGACATATAATGTACCCTGGCTGATGATAAGATAGCATGTTAATGACAATCATTATTGGTAAGGTTTCCCCCATTTTTCAGTTTCAAGGTTTTTCAATCAATGTTAAGTTTTGAAGTCATATAGTTGGAAATAGTTTTTAGATGCTACTGCCCCTGAGCCAGCAAATATTCAGACATAGATTTTCAGCAAGCAGGCCCTGTTACAAAAGGGCCACTCACTGACAATCCTTCAATGAATGAATTTTATTTCATTGTGTTGATTAAGCATTCCATTGCTCATTTGAGGTAAGATATGTTTTTAACATAGCTCAACTAAAAGCTTAAATATAGCTCAATTTTAATATAACTCAACTTGTTTTTCAGCTATCTCCAGTTTTCATCAATTTGTGCAAAAGCATTTAGAAGATGCTTGAAGCCTGAGATTAGGGCTGATGCTCTAAGACGAGAAGATAGTATAATGAAAGTGACAAAGTGGAAAGATGGAAAGCCCTTAAAAGAATCAAGTATGTTAATAATTTTCATCTTACCAGATTTGTATAAATATGTTTTTAGGGGCTAGCTGACAATGATATTGTTTTATAATTTAGACCTTTTATTTTCATTACCTTGAAAATATAACGTTGCCTGTTTCCAATCCATGAGATTTTTCCTTTAAAAAATTCTGGCTTTTCATGCCTCTACTTTGACGGGTAGCTTATCTGAGCTCTAGGGTTACCTACTGGAGAAGCATCACCAATCTGTATTGGATGGCTTTCCCGTGTTAGCTGACAATCAAAATGGAAGGAACAAGTTGCTCTAGTGAGGAAGGGCTAGTCTTTGTCAGTGCAGAAATAGGTTTCAAATACAATAAAAGAAATGGCTAAACCAGGGGTGGGCGCGCAGTGGTATAAACTGTATGACTATGAGCCTCATACCATTTTGTTTCCAGAGTTTGTCCTAGAAAAAACCTTAAAATTCATGGGCTCTTGGAGAGATATCTCTTTCATTCGTTTATTACTGCATTGACACAGAAGCGGAATTCAAATGTAAAAATTAACATAACTTTGTGTTTGAATTGCTCCGACAAAAGATTTTTAATTGCCTTCTAATCCGTTAATGAATCATATTCATACTGTTGATAGCAATCAAATCTTGAGGGTAGTTATGGCCATGGTATTTTTTTTCATTTCTCAAACTGTAATGTCATTAAACTTTTGTCTAAGTGGCCCTGCTCTACGTTGGGGCCTGTTGTTATCCTAACATATAAAAGAGTGACCTATCTGCCATGGTATAAGCTTTCGATTTCTTTTACTGTGGCCAGTCAAACAATGATAAGAGAATTTTGCATGGATTTGTAGAGATGTAGAGGAGTATCTTCTTTTGATGGACATGTTGCTTTATGTGTGACTTATCGAAGGTGAATTTTTTCACATAGATTATTCCATATTTTCAAGGTAAAACATAGTTTCCCAGAGTAGCATTTTTCCAGATTGGGTTTAAGAAAGTAGAAAAGGGATGGTGATAAGTATGAGTTGATAGGTCCAATTGTTGTGTTTTGGTTGGGGTGAAGTACTTTTCACTTAATTTTTCTAGTATCAGCTTTTCAATTTTCAATCTTATTACCCTGACAAGTTAGTGGCAATTACGAGAGGGCTCTAGGCCACCAGCAACGATTTTAGCTGTGGCTTCAGGCTCTTTAGCGGTTCTCTGGCCATGGTATTAGAATAACGATTATCATACGGTGCCCTTGAGGTGACTATACAGCAAGGGCTGTGCGCAATCTGTGTTTCGTATGTCAACCAGCCTTCCCCTAAGTCTGCTACTTGCTATTAGACCAGTGACTCTGTAAGTGTAGGCAGTTAGACAGCCCCTTGAAATTGGAAACAAAGGAGGTGTATTAACAAGACACCTTTTTCTTATAAAATGAACAAAGGGTACATGTACAGCAGAATATTTGTTATCCAGTCGTTAGGTAGGGTAGAAAAAATGCACTAGTTTCATGTTCTTCAATCAATAGCTGTGGTTTCTTTAACAATCGCTTTGATTGTAAGCAAAGTCAAAAACACGATTTTTCAGTTTTCTTATACGGAGGCAAAAAATGAAAAATGGGGATGCCATGAGTAAAGGTTGCTTGGGGGTATTTCCTCTTCAATTTACAGGCCAAGCATCAAGCCTGATGGAGTAAAATCCCCCAACATCATTATGTGAAAAGTGCTCAAAGGACTAATACCCGAAAAATTTGACTCCCAGCCGCCCCTGGCTAAAACCTGAAGTATGGTTCAAGTCATGAGCCAAACTGCAGGCCTCCGGAAAAAAACAGCACACAGGCTTAAAAGACTCCTGATGGTTTGGCTGTGTGGACTATTTAGCCCTTGCAGAATTTATTGTTTATCTACTTCTATTTGGGTATATTCAAGTAAAAAATTATATTACCTTGTCTACTTGTAAACAGTCTTTATCCTAAAAAGACAGTTTTGTGTGCAAACTACTCCTAACAATGACAAAAGGGATATCTGGTTTTTTTGCAAAATGGCAAAGTTTTGTGTAGGAACACAGATTTATTGAGTAGGATCCAACAAAACGCATCTTTATTGAAAAAATATAGAGCAATTAAAAATAAAGAGCAATAAAGTATTATTCAAAGAGTAAGATAAAGTTGATTTGCCCTAAATATTCAATAAAATATATATAACTGAAATACACTAAATTTTCTATAAGAATTGAAGGGCGACGTTAAGTACTCCAGTTTCTTAATGGCACAGAAAAATCCAAAACCCATTCTTTATTAAGTTTTTCTTAACCTGAAAATAGCACAGAAGAGTGGAAAAATATTTTACTGAAACTTTTTTGTCTGCATTCAACCTTATATGCCGCTTAATGTCAAAAAGTAAGCAGAAATTTTTACGAGGATCGAAATTAATGCAAGAGCGTGAATGATTAGTTCTCTGTTATTCACCAATCTCAACCGCTTATCTCTTACCTAGTTGAAAAATGCAAGAGCGAAAACGAACTCTTTCTGTTTTTGCTTTGAGAAATGCAGTTTTTTAAGTTTTTACCAATTGCCCAGTACTCTTTTCTTATGTAACAATTCTCATTCTTGCTATTTTATGCTATCTGTTGTTCCTTTCCTGCACACTTGTTTCCTATTCCATTGCTAGTTTTAACAGGTAATATTATAGTTTGTTAACATTTGATGTCAAACGAAACAGAACTTTCCTTTTTATAGCGATATTTATAACCATATATCTCGTTATTTGACATGATGTTATTTATAAATACCCTGGTATATAGCAGTAAGTAGTTAAAAATTTGGGGAGTGAAACAAAGGGGATTGAATGAGACAGTTGTTATAAGGAACTGCTATAGCCCCGGTCTCTAGGAGAGGCCTGAAACTGAATAAACATTCATTGTATGAACCAAATTAGATCATCAATTTAACAGAATTTGAAATGTAAAGAGGCCCAAGATGTTGAAAATAATTTTGAGGGAACAAATTAGAATGCAATGAATTAAGTAAAAACATACATTTTGATAAGATCAAAGCTTTTTATTAAATTTAGTGGTGTATCAATGTCCTATGTGCCACAAATCATTGTTTCAGAGGCCAGATATGGCCTACAGGCTGTAAGTCTGACACACAATGACACATCTGATAGAGGACCTTGCAAATAATGGAAACTTGTTATCTGGTACCCAGAAAAGAAAATTTTGGGGGTTTTAGACTAAAGTTTCAGAGATTTATGCTATATTCCTCCTTTCAAGAAACCTAACCACAATTTTTGTCTCTTGTAGAGAACATCCAAGTTTGAAGAAGATTGAACCTTGATTAGCGTTTGTGAACCCTGGAGAGTGGACATTTCTGTTATGCCTACTTAACAGAATTTATGATTATTCTCTCTGTTTCTTATCATGAAATTCAAGTTTGTACATTCATTGATGGAAACTTTTTATGGGTCTAGGCCCTACCTTGTAGCTTTCTAGATAATTTGCCTTCTTCTGTAACCGGATGCTCTGTAAATGTTCTTTATTCACATATCATCCAAAGATTGATAATTATGTTGCAAATCTTCAACAGTTCATTTCTTAGTTTTATTGTATTTTGTATGGTACAATAACCTTGAAATAACAATCTTCTGGATGCTAGCCTTAATAGCTATGCTTCTCTGAAGTATATTTTCATGATTTGAGTTGATATGAAACATCTTTACTAGCATTTCCAGTTCGATTAACAGTAATGCATTCAACCTTAGCAAGTTTGAAAAGGCAACATGGTTTGCTTTAAACCAAAAGGATGAAAACACAGTTGCTTTTAGGACTCAGTTTATAATTATGTTGCCATCTCATACATTAAAGGGGTTTTGCTGCACTTCGTATAGTTTCATTCCAATCAAAAAATAATTGAAATAATATAGGGGTAAAGTTCCCAATACAGTTTAGGTGGCAAGAGCAGAAGACGGTCCTTTCTATAAAAACTAATAAAACTATGGGGATAAAACTCAATGCTGGCTGATTGACAGCACTTAGTTTCTTTGTTACTGTCTGGCCTATGGTTTAAATCAAAATTTTGAGCACTCAGCATAATCTTCGGCAGCAGCAACAACACCGTTACTGAAAGCAAGGCTTCGAACAATAATGGCGAAGTATCATGTCCTTGACGGCGTTGAGACATTAAGTGCAAACTTTGCCAAATTCATCGAAGATCTTTCTAGGACTTCAATCTCAGATCATGGGTACTTTGCCATTGGACTCTCCGGAGGAAGCTCAGCAAATATCGTTGGGAACGCTCTTTCAAACACAAACTTAGAATGGGCAAAGTGGCATGTATTTTTCTGCGACGAAAGATTTGTCAAGTTGTCAGGTAGGAAAATTAAACAAATGTTTTTAGGTGATGTGGATCTTGTAGAATTTTTTAAACTGTATCAAGATAATGCTTTCTGATTCTGTATTGAGACCTTCGGTGCTTGAATAAACAACTTAGCGACATTTTTGTGGAGGGGTCTGTTTGGCCATGGACGGTGATAACAATAAAATGTCTATCGCTAATAGCTTGTGCGAATGCCGCTTCTGTCCACTTGCTCTTAGTAGCCAGAAATAGCTTTTACATGCACTTGTTCAGTCGTAACTTGCATTGTAGTGTGGTCACGGGTTTTGGGGTGGCTAGCAAAGGAAGTTTTCTGGTTTCTGATACTTCTACAATAACTTGTGTTTCATTTGTTATCTTTTAGATACAGACAGCAACTACAATAGTTTAAAGGCTAGCCTCTTTGATAAGGTCCCAATACCTAGGGATCAGATATACACAATAAACACTGAAACTGGAATTGAGGAAGCTGCCATTGACTACTCAAAAAAGCTTCAATCACTTTTTGGTGACATCAAGCTTCCAAAATTTGATTTACTTGTCCTAGGAATGGGGCCTGATGGACACATATGCTCACTGTTTCCAAACCATCCTTTGCTAGATGAAAAAGATAAATGGGTAGCTTTTGTAGCTGATTCCCCAAAGCCTCCACCTAAAAGAATAACATTGACACTGCCTGTATTGAATAATGCGAAGGCTGTCTGCTTTACTGTTACTGGTGGAAGCAAAGCAGAGATGGTAAAAAATGTTCAGCAGAGACCACTGGATAAAAACATCCCAGCATCAATGGTTCAAAATTCACAAGGAGAAGTTCATTGGTTTATGGACAAGGATGCAGCCAAACTTCTCTCTTGAGCAATGCAGTTGTATTATTTGCTTTCAACAACAATAGCACATTTTACATGACTTGGCGCACAAGTGTTTAACACTGAAGAGTAAGCTGTTCTTTTCGTGGTTACAAATTTTAAACCAAACAGGAGCATTTCAGTCTTGGCAACTTGTCTGGTAACAAGTACAACACAATGCGCAAAACCTTTAAACACTAATAAAGATATTGTTTATGAATATTTTGATAAAAAATTCTCCTTGAAGTCTCCTTGAAGTATTGTTTCTATATCATTGTTCCAATCAAGTGTTTCTATAATATTATTTTCTATATTTATTCACACATGTAATTTTTCATTGTTGCAAATCCTTATCAACCAGCTGTTTTGTTGAATTTTTTATGTTTAAAATTTCTTAAAGTTAACAAAACCAAATTATTTGTCTTTCATATATTAAACCTTTACAGTAAACTTTTTTGAAAAGAGAGAATTGAAGTAAATAGATCATCAACAGCAAAAATAGTAACAAGATTTATATCTTTTCACTCTCAACGTATCATTAGCTCTTTAAAAATAGGCAAAATAAATAAATATTTGGCAATAAACTTTATACAAATAAACACACATTTATGCAACAAAACATTCAAATCAACCTTTAAAACATGTTTCTTTTTGAAGATAAACTAACAAAGCTGTGAGAAGGTGCTCACACCTCTCAGGCCAGGGCATATTAAAATTAAGTTCTTTGGATAAAGTACTTTGGTTTTTAATGAAGCTCTTAAAACTGGATTAAATACAGTGAAACACTGCAAACCACACCATCCTTTTTATAGTGCTGTTATAGTTCATTTGACATCCTATTTATGCATATGTTCCTTTAGTTATTCCACAGAACAGCCACATTGAGAATATCATGCCAAGGACCTAAAAATAGATTTTCATGACACATTTGTGTTTGTATTTGATAAGGATATGTGCTTCTTAAAGGCATTGAGCCATGGTAAATAGGAATCCTTTGCAGGGGGTCCTGAACTTTCTTTGTGATCATCGTAGTAATAGTGTGATTTTGGTAGCCATTGTTTAGAATGGATCGTTGACCTTACTTCTTTTCAAAATCAGTAACAAGCAACTTTCTGTGATCAGATCTCGATCTAAGATTCACCAAAAGCAATGGAGCTTTGTTGACTGGATTGAATTTGGGTATAACCTCTCCTTTTATCATGACTCAATTTCTTTAAGTTAAGGTACATAAACAAACAGTTAAGGTATGCTGTAAGCAGTTATCCATTGCATGGTAAAGTTAATTAGAGCTCAAGACTGTATATCTATTTAATGAGAAGAAGCATAGAGATTGACTTAAAATATGAAGCTTAAGGAAATTAGGATGACTGAAATTTCTCCACTTTCTTGACAATTAAATTAAAATGAATATTAACAAACCTGAATTACACTGAAGGCAAGTCCGATAACACCTATTACAAGAAGATGCTCCAACAGAAACTTGCTGATTTCCTTGTAGCAACCCTGAAAAATAAAAAAAACTGTTAGATTTTCAACGCTGTTTTGATGTTGTCTAGAATTATTGATTATAGGGAACATTGCAATATAGATTCATTAACAATATAAGATTAGTTGTAATAGAAAAAAGACACCATTTTCAGTTTTGGTAATTACTGTACCATTCTACTGCAATTAAATCAATAATAACAAAGAGATTAAAAAGGTATTTTGGTAAACCACCGTTTTACTAACTGAGTGTATATGCTTACAAAAATTTTCAAGATAGAATAAAGAAGAAGCATATTTTGAGTCAGTTACAGGAGAAAGGAAAATCAGTATACCTTTGTATAGACATTATTGGGATCTTTTCCACAGTCGTTATTGTTTTGCTGTTCTTCAACACAACAGCTCTTAGGTGGGTAACCCTTTTGAAACTTGGAGTTGGCCCAATCATTCCAATTTAAATTTCCACAGCATTTGAAATATGTCTGCATCTTATCAATTGCCTCAGTTGTTCCAGGTTCATCACCATATTTCTCACTTATCATCAGACTTAAATCTTTCCTAACCTCTCTTTCAATCTATTTGTGAAAATGTAAACATGTTAATTACAAATAAAAATCAAGATCAAGAGATAATTGGTACTAAGGAGCATTGAGAAAAGTAGGGGTCTAAAAAGTAGGGGAGGGCTAAAGCAGAACAATAAGGATTGCCTAGTGATCCATTGGTTAACCCCCCCCCCCCCCTAGCAGTGATAAAGCCCCTTGCTCCATGTTGCCTGGATAATTGACAAATCAAAGTTTTCCCAAGTCAGGATAAGGTGACCTTATGACAATGTAGCTCAAAATTTTTATGGATGAGAGCACATTTATCTTTAATGCTTGATTGATGCAAATTTTAAAATCTTTTATTTAACAAAAGATTCTTTTAGACAGCTGTCTATAGCGGACAGAAAGCAGGAGAGCAAAGGAAAATCTATGTCCAAATAATAAAATGACAAAACAATAAGGCTGCCTCGACATGAGAACGATTCCAAATGGACCTTTTTTCTAAGTGATCCCCTTTTGGTACAGCTAGCAGTTCCATTTGGAACGGTTCCGACAGGTACCGTGTAAACAGAAAGTTGAACTGTGCTCATTTAATGGAACTGGTCTCGTAGAAATGCCAGGTGCAGATCTATATGTTTCTCTGTAAAGTTTGAATTTTTTATCTAATATTCAATTGCAACAATTGGTGCCTTTCTCCCGGACTGAATATAGTTCTTCTGTTTACATACTAAACTCATCTTCTATCCCAAAGTATGTGAGGAATTAAAAATCAAGAAATCAGTCGCCACTCAAAGTGACAGTTTAGAGAATGCTATCTATGCACCATTATTGAAACCAGTGGATAATTGTTTTCTGAAAACCTGTGAAAACCGGTGCCCATATGCAAAAAACCGGTAGCTAAAAAGCTTTAAAAGAAAATGATACAAAATGAAATACAGATTCAAACAAGAATCTGAGGTTTTGTATTGCGCGACTAGAATTTATTTCTCGAAAAAATTAATGAAAATTAGAATCACAGTTGCAAGAAGAGGATCAAAGGCCATACTGAAGGGAGTAAAATTGTGATATTTCAGATAAAGTGGGGGCAAATTAATCACATTTTATTAACTTCATTAGCAACTTTTAGCAATATTTATGGACCAATAACATAAAGGCTGTCAGGGGGTAAAGCATCCCAAAACAGGTCAAAATTTTGGCTAGATACTGCCTGAAACGCTGCCTAAGGGAACAATCATAATGCATTCACTAAAATTGCAAATTACTAAAAAATTTTCTCTTGCCAGCAAGATAAAAGACATTTACACTGTGTACCGCACAATTGCCCAATATATATCCTTAAAAAAACAGTCTTTTGATGAAAAAGGTTAGCAACTTCTTTGTACTTACTTTCCCTTTGTTTGCATAAGCAAGCCCTCCTGCAGAGATTTCCAAGCAAAAGATCAACAGGAGGAAAATGAAGAACTATAGTAGAAAAAACAAAAAAAGGTTTGAGAAAACTATACTGTCACTTTACATTGTGCTTACTCAAACTGCATTAATTTGAAGTTGTTTCATGAAAGATTTTGAAAAAGTACCAGCTAATAAATATATATATACACTTCAGGCCTGGCCATTTGAGGAGAGCCATAGCTCTTGCTCCCCTCCAGGCTCTCCTCAAATGCTGGAGGGGAGCTAGAGATTGCCCTCCTAAATTGATCTAAAAAGCAAATTTGGTCTCCTTGAACTAAATTTTCCCTTTGTTTCTATTCTTATAGCTCACCTGAATACTACTAGGAGAGCTGTTTACTGCTCCCCTGTTAAAAGTCTTACGGCCAGACCTGCACTTGCGTTAAAAAAGTATTGGGACACACTTCGAAATTTGGCATTTTAGGCAACAAATTTGGATAGACTCTTTTAAAATCTTTCTCATTAAATAAGTACAACAGCTATTTCCATGAAACTTTCACAAGACATTGTTAATGTTTCGAAGCATTTTATGCAGCCAAACAATTGAAAAAACGTTGACCATAAAATTTCTATAGGCCTTGAGACGAAAACCTGGAGGCTCTCGAAATTCAAGAACTAAGAGAAGCGCTTACAAATTGCTTTCTACTAAAATAAAGCAAATGGATTTTGTGAAATTGCATCAATTGTGGGCTGCTCAATGAGTGCAGCTTTTCTGGTGTGTAAAAAGATTTTCTGTACAAGATCAGTAAAAAATTTGCCAAGGGATGGCAGAACAAAGGAGTTTCTGACGCCATGGGACAAAAGGTCTTTACTGAGGGAACTGCAAAGTAATGGGTTTGAATCCTTGTTAGAAATTATGTTGTTATGTTAAAAGAAGCTAAATATTGGAACATAAACAAAAACATGGCTATAAAATTATGAAAAATACCAATTTTCCAGCTTTATAGGAAGAAAATGCTCTCTCATAACAAAAATTGAACATCACCAACAAATACAATGGCTTCTCTTTGAATGTTACACAGTTTTAAAAGTGACTTGAGTAAAAATGCAATAATTTAATAAAATTGTAATGTTTTTGTTGATGTAAAATTTTGATTTTGTTATTTCTTTTATAAATTTCCTTGTTATGCAGACGTGAAATTAAAAAGTTGAATTTGTTTGGACATCTCTAAAATTTAGTGAAGTTTATGTGACTTTGCCGTTATTAGGCCATTCAATCCTTCTGCATATTTTGTTGTTATATTCAGGAAAATCTTAAGAATCCTATGTTTTCAGGGTTATACTCTATAAGTTGAAGCATTTTCTTAACTTGTTATTCCTCTTTGGGGATACGTAGGCCTAGATTATTTGGAGAAAGACTGCCCAAATCTGAAAAAGTTTTCGTTGCAAAAAACCGAATCCAACGCAACGCCATAATTTGTTTATCAAATTTGTCCCAATACTTTTTCAACGTAAGTGTATATTTCCAAATTAAAAATGAAGTTTAATAGAACCTTGACATTCTATAAAAATTTTGAGAGAATAAGGGATAGGATAAAGAATTAAGTCTGTTTGATTTTGGATATTGAAAGATGTGATTTGTTTAATGAAAGTATGGTTTCATTTCAATATGACAAAATTATAAGATCATGAAATGTATGAAAATATATCTAGATCTTGATATATCTACAATCTACCGTTTTAACCAAGAAAACATATTTCAATTAACCTACTCTACTGGACATAATAAATTATTTACAGTGTCCAATCAAATAAATGAATATATATATATATAAAACCAATATTAAATGTTGAGTGGTCATTTGCATGAAAATGTTTTCTTACCATTAGCAGCATAATTTTGTTTTCCTTGATGGACCCGACAACACCAAGGAATGTCACCACAACAATGACAACTCCAGCACCAATTGCAAGGTTAGATACTGTCGCAAATTCATAATCTGAAAATGATGCATAATCGCCTTTCTCCACACGAAGCCATATTCCAGTGCCAAGTATTCCAGCTCCACAAAGCTGTTGGTAGTAATAGAAATCATCAAAAAATTTGAAGCAAATTTTTTAATCAAATTGTGATTTTGCTAATGATATTACAATCCAGTTAACAAATAATGCAACAAATGAATGTTCACCATGAACCTCGTTCAGTAGAAAAACGTAAAAAGCAGATTACTTTGAAATTAACCATACAAAAGATTAAAAAGTTTTAAACCTAGTCCGAATAAAAAAGGGGTATTTCTTATTCAAACTTAACTATGTACAGAGCAATATCACAATTGCATCTTAGACACATCTTACTAACCAAAAATCTATTTACTGGCTACTAAAATGAATGTTGATCATTTTTTGGATATCCCAATTAATACTGCTTTGTTAGAAAATTTTCTATTAAACAGCAAGGATATTAAAGTCTGCCTGTCTCTGTGATAGCTTCTCCAATATCATTATAGACATTTATAGGACCTTTACTAAAAATGCATAAAGCAACGAAGATGGAAAGTTTTTTCTAAACTCAGTAAGGGAAGGTTACACTGTGATATGACAACAGCACATAATCACTGTCAAAGAGCCTGGAGCAGTTGGACAAGACAGTAGAAATATGGTCCTCAAGAGGGCAAATTAAATACTTTAATATAAGTAAACAAGCAATATTAAGGAGACCTATTAAATTGGGTCAAAGGAGCAAAAAATAGAAAGTGAACCAACAAGCTAGTATGGAGATAATGATTATTGCACATCAAAGATACAGAGATGGCAATGCTGAGGGTGCAACTAAAAATTAGATATAATGAACCATGCACATATACTGAAAAAGTTGTCGAGAGCTGCAGAGCTATTGATGGACAAGAGGTCTTGTAAAATTATACTCTATACTCTGTTAACTGACCACCAAGATGCAATTCACAACCATAAAAACAAAATACTGCAGCACTGCAGCACTACAGCCATGCCAGGCAGTGGCGGTTTTAGAGACTTCTGGGCCTCATCTGCAGGGCCCTTTTTCTTTACAATTTCTATCTTTTCTCTTAGGTGTTAGACCTCTGTTGGTTATCATAAACGTGGGGCCTGGAGCCATGCCCCCCTGAGCCCCCCTTAAAACTGCCACTGATGCCAGGTTGAAAAGTTTGCAATATATTGGCTGCTGCCAGACAATAGTGACATACATTATATATTTATATCCATTTACTTATATATTTAGCTGTAAATCCTAGTTGTGCAAACTTCCCAATCTGGGAGCCACACAGAGAAGTGAAAAACCCACTAGAAAGATGCAAGCAGAGTTACAGAGGCCAAAACCCCATGATGAAAAAAAATCACAAATCTGTAAGCCACAGTCAAAAATTTGATTTAGGCCATAAAGCCACAAACCTCTTGTAGGCCAAAAGAAATTCAAGAAACAAGACCATAGAAATAAATTACTTACAAAAAATACTAGATTGAAGCCAAAAAGTAAGTACTTGATACAATTTAGGCGCTGATCAATCATCTTTTCTATTCGTCCTGAAATGAAAAAACTTTATTAAAATCTAATTCACATTTGTGTACATTCAAATTTTCTTCTTAGTTTGATACTTTTTATCTTGTCGTATTTTCTTCGTCATGCATAACTTATTAAGTTAATGACAGAGAACGCTGTGAAGGAAATGGCACCTTTCATTAGGCTCAATAAGGCCAGAAGGGAAATGTGCAGCTAGTATTGTCAGTTGAAGAATTGAACAAAAGGGAAGAAATCTTCAATTCCATAATGCAGTCTTATCCTATCAGTATCTTCTAAAAAATGTAACCCTGCAAATATCTACGTAGTATCATAACCACTCTCATTAGCACCAGATTTAGGCCACACATCTGCTTTCATTTGTCAATGAAATATTGCAATGATTGTCCAGATTTAGGCCACACATCTGCCTTTCATTTGTCAAAGAAACATTGCAACTTGTGCCGGCATTTATGATGATTGCATCATAAGTCAATACTACCATCAAGTAAGAAAAAGAAGTATTTTCATAGCTACCGTTATCCGTTCTCTAAAAATCCATACTGCACCAGAGAACCATCTCTCCGCAAAACCCAAAGTCTGTGTTGTTTTTATTCACCACATGCTGCATCCGGACGTTCTAACGAGGCACTTTGTCAGAACGAGGATGTAGAGGCAAGATAAAATTTATTGGGAAATGACAAACTTTGACTAATGGGAAATCTAATAAAATAATGATTAAAAGCAGAGAGAAGCGCAAGAAATAAAAATCAATGTTGAATCTTACATACAACAATAAAAAATTTAAGTTCCTTTCTAGCGCATTAGAGCATATCGTTCCAGACCTGGGTACAGAGAGCAAAGTATCTAAAAAGCACAATTTTAAGAGATTCACCAACCTTTTCATCAAAGCAGCATGCTTATAGAACTCTATGTACTCGTTCCTCGTACATAAAAATGCATACCCAATTGTGGTTCAAGAGGTAGAATCCAAAAATACTTTTGGACTGCGGAAGATGAACAGTGGGGAAGAAAGGCAAGTGATTCGACTTGTTTAATTTTCCATGCCCCTTGCTGTGCTCAGTGAAATACAACTCGACTCTGCATAAAACTAAAAAAACCGCGAGAGAGAACCTTTCGTGTAGAGCTTGAAGGAAATGATTTATTAGAAATAAGTGCTTGTTGGGTGGTGTTCTATGCAATTGTACCCTATCACGAAGCGGTAAAACACGATTAGAGGAAGTTTAAACTTTGCAGATTTCAGCAGAGGACCATGGCCAGACTGGAAGGTGGGGCAGTTTAAATCGATAATTCTGGTGCCCCAGAAGCCTTTAACGAAAGTGCGATGCGGAAAATTGATTGGATTTTCTTTAGGTGCAAGCAGAAAGTGCTCTACACCGTTTATCAGAATATATTTTAAATATAATGAGCTTCATCCAACAAAACGATAAAAAATTGCGCTATGTCAAAAGCGCAATAACAGTCCAGGCCAGGTGCGCCAAAATTCTGCAATCGCTACAATCTCGGGGGTACTTTCCAGTCTGGGGCCATGGGCCATGGTCCCATAAATATCAGGGTCTGCTGCAAACGGCCATATCACAAGGAGTCAAACAAACGCTCAAAGACAAAGGAGAACGAGACAGGGGACTTAAACAGCAGCTTATATAAGGCGGCAATAATATATATTATAAACTGACATAGAATGTAAATCTTCAACGTAAACAAATGTCATATTCCAAAAGCGATATGCACGGTGATCAAATAATTACAATGTCTACATTACTGCAGACATATACATTTTTAATATGGATGCAAAAAGAAAATATGCACAGATTACATTTAACGAGTGAACTGTGCAAACAAGTTCATTTGGAAAACGACTTTCCTAAGCATTACATCAGCAATTGTCAACCATTGAACAGTTTAAGCATAAGTTCCTTCTTTTGAAATTCCACAAAACAGACACATGGATAGTATCATCCCAAGAATCTGAAAATAAAAGAAATTCGAATAGATATCATTTGATCATTTACAAACATTTGAATGTTAAAGAGAATGAGCGACGAAATAGACCACAAATGATATTAGGCTGCACGAGCAGCAGTGCGGTGTGGCGCGTCACGACGCAGGCCAAATATGGCTAGCATTTTCTGTAGCTTAGCACAAGCATCACCTTCTTTAAGCTATGTGCCAGAGTTTGGTGATGCTTCTCTGTGGAAAGTTTTTGCAAGCACTAATACGACATTAAAGTTAATCGACAGATACTAAAGAGACTTAAGCCAACTTTCAATTGAGAATTGACCAATAAGTGAGCGCAATTCCGCTCAAACGATTACTACTTGGCTATATCTCTTTAAATGACATATGTCACATTAGTAGTTGGCTAAAACAACAAAAACATTTGGAGTGAAATTCCATTGTTTCGTGACTTTTCATTTTTGGTTCATGAATTTCTACTGCCATGAAAATTCAGCCTCGATCCCGTGCTTTGTACTAAACAATAAAGATAATTGTATTGCATTAGCCAATCAGGTTCACGAGACATGCCCTTTAACTTGACTACCCTAAAGCAGTGTAAGCATTGAGATAAAAAAGCGATATCAATGTAAATCCGTACCTGAATGACACCAAACACAATGCCAGTGACGCCGATGATGAGAAGATGATCCAAGAGAAACTGCTTCACCTCCTTGTAGCAGCCCTAAAAATTAAAAAAAAAATCCGAGTAAAGTTTAGTTTTGACTAATGTCATTGAAAATTGTCATTAAATTTGTAAACACAGAACCAGTATGGCGACAAAAAAAAGACATCGTGTTAGTAGTATTTCAACTTCTTTTGACGTGAATCCATTTGAAAAAAAAATCAGTACATTGACATTCCATTTGGTTTCAATTTGTCTACTTACCTTACGACAATCCGGGTACTTAAGACAATATCCATGAAATTACATAATGAGGTTAGCTGAGACATTTTGGGTACGACAAATTCAGTTGTATAGAATTATGTCAACCATGGACTCGCGGTTTTGTAGCTCTTGCAAGTTTTTTCAACATGTCCGACAACCACATTCATATTGCAAACTGTATTATATTCTTTGGTTAAATTAAACATGTGGATCCTTGTATTCTTTATATAGGTAATTATATGCTGTGATCTTGATGATGAAAACGATCTGAATTGAACTCAGTTGACCGGCGTCTACAAATTTTATAGGATAATCAAGATCTTTCTCAATAAACAATTTAAACCTCCTTTGAAAACCTAATTCATATTGTGTGAAGTTGAATATGAATTAAATCTTAAAATTTCAATATAAGATTCTAGTATAAAACGTTAAGACAATAAAAAAAGAAAATCATACAAATAAGAAAACATAAGAATAAGTATAATTATAAAAATAGAAATAACTTAAAGCATAAGAGTGAAGGCAAAACAAATCCTTGTCTGAAACACATATATTTCTAATTGAAATATTTAAATAAATATCAGAAATACTTACCCTGGTGTTCACGTTTTTGAGGTCCTTGCCACAATCAACGGTATTTCGCTTGTCCTTCATACAACAACTCTCCGGAACATACCCTTTGCTGACATAATATTTTGAATATTTCCAGTCATCTACGTTGTTATTTCCGCAACATTTGAAAAATTCCTGCATCTTGTCAATAGCTTGTGTGGCACCCGATTCAACGCTATACTTTTCATGGATGGTTACATTCAAGTCCTTTCGTACTTCTGTTTCAATCTAAAAAGCAGAAAACAGTATTTGTATTCCTTTCCTATACATCTAATAATTCTCCAAAGACGTAGCCGATAACTTCTAAAGAAGTTCTCAAATTTAACCTTGTGATTAGAAAAAGCTTTTTTCTTTTGATTCAAAAATGGAGACAGCTTAAAATCACTGTGACAGCTTACAAGCAAGGATGCTTGAATTTAAAACCGAGGCAACATATGAAATAGATTGGTTTCAAATAGATTTTTAGAAAAGGAATCATAAAACTAACTAGCAAAAAAATAGTTGTTCTTCTTAATTGTGGATCAATTCAGTCTGTGAATGGATAACTATTTGTTTAACTATTACAATATAACACATAAGATAAATATCAACAGTCTATTGACAGAATAAAAGAAATAAAATAGTGAGCTAAATAGCCTAAGAAATGTGGCAAATCTTCAGAAATTATAACCTTTTGCAAATAAATGCATTTGCTTGTCTTTTTGAAACAGGTGAAAAAACTGGAGCTTTACCCCATCAAGGAAATTCAATATAGGGGTAACAAAAAGGTATTTGGAGAGCTGATCAAATATAAGAGGCCCTTGAAGACCCAAAGCAGAAGACAAAACTTTACAAGATTAAGTAGTTTCTTCACCTTTCCTCTGTTAGCATAGGCAAGCCCTCCAGCAGCTATCTCCAGGCAGAAAATCAATAGCAAGGAAACAAAGAACTGAAAAACAAAATTCGAAATTTTGAAAACATAAAAAACTGGATGCAATATTGGAACTCTATGTGTGAACAACCGGTTTTCTAATGACCCTCAATAAGATGGCCATGACTTGAAATTTGGGGAACTAATTAATGTTTTGCCTTTATAGCTTCTTTGTATACCTGGCAAATTACTTGTGTCTAAAATGTATACTTGAAGAAACTTTGACATAAAGTTGAATATCTTGGCATAAGTGCTCCCATAGTTGCATTATGAGTTTAGAAGTTATTGCTGATATAAATATAAATTGTAGATATTGATTATACCATGAGAAGCATGATCCTGTTTTCCTTGATTGAGCCTACCACTCCAAGAAGTGTCACCACAACTATGACAACACCTGCAGCAATAGCCAAGTTTGATGCTGTCGCAAATTCATAGTCAGTGAATGACACATAGTCACCCTTTTCAACACGCAGCCAAATCCCTGTTCCAAGAATTCCAGCTCCACAGAGCTATGAAAATATAATCCATAATTGGATGGTAAAAATAGTTTAATTGTTTTCAAATTAATTTTTCAGAAAAAAAGAATACAGATTTGAAGATTAATATAAATCAAATACACTTAAGTTACCAAGTTTTTGTTATCTTAAACAGAACATGATGTATCATTACACAAGTAACAATTCAGAGCATTTCTGATATTTATCAAGCCAGATGCTTATTAGAATAACTGGATACATTATAAAAAGGATGTGCTTCCCATATAAGATTGTATCTAGTTTGGGTCACAGGTTTGTTGAAACTTTTATTAACATATGAATTTTACGATGGCAAAACATAGCAGAACCATAGCATACTAAAGTACTTTTCGTCCAACCTTAAAAAGCACCAAAATCTTTTATTTATTCTATCATCTTCAGTAAATTTTACTCTTGTTAATTCGCCACCACCCTAGTCTGGAAGGTCAAGCTAGGCAACTGACGGTGTGACATTACAAACAATGCAAATCAATTCTTATCGATTTTCAAGAGCAAAGTATTTGACCGTCTCAAACCTACTATTTGCCTTCTAGCGTTGACCCCTTTTTTGACTTAATTAGACTTAATGCATTCATTTGCAATCAAGAATTTGATAAAAATGACCAAGATTTCTGTGCCGATTCAACGTAATTTAGATTGAGCAATGACATCTACATATTCCGGTAGCACTAAACTTCCTTCCCTTTAGCTAATAAATCTCCAGTTGAAAGTCTCTACTTACAAAAAATATCAAATTGAAACCAAACAGCAAGTATTTGACACAACTCAGTCCGCCTTCAACCATTTTGCTTGTTCAAGATATGCAAACCTAAAGTGAAGGAAAATAACCATTTGTCTCTTTATTGAGCTAAAAACTAGTGGAAAAAGGAACATAATAAAGGATGATATTTTACCTGTAAAATTGGATGGAGGCTTCTTTCTCAATCAGCCTTTACTCTAAGGGAGTTCTGATATACATGATTGCCTCGAATTTCATCTATTCTACAACTTGGTTTTTTGCAATGTGCATAAGTTGTGCAACTGAAAATGTGATGGGTTTTTACCTAAATAAAACTTGTTGATGGATCTAACGTAATAATAATGTTCCAGTAATAATTAGTAACGTAATAATTAGTTCCAGCTTATCCATATAGAGGCACTAACATTGACCCTTTATGCCATCTTCAATTTATTTACACAAACCATTAACTGAACTGGTCTTGATTACATATCCTTTATAACTTTAACATTTATTAAATAATTCTGAAAGATCATAACTTGATCCATGATAAAGCTGTTGAGACAAACACCCAGTAAAGCACATGGCTAAAGGCATATCCAATGACCAACATATAGAAATAAAAGAATTGTCCACTCCATGTTTGGTAAATGGACTTAGATAATAGAAATAAAAGAATCTATCAGGATTGTCAAAGCACCAGAATACCTTATCTATCAGTCAAATTTTTAAATTAGTTTTTAAAAGAAGTACCCTGTACAAATGAGAACCCCATAAAATATTATACATTATAAAAAAACTTTGTTTCTCTTATCAATTAAAGGAAGTGACTAAATAATGATGGTTTCATAAATAAAATGACTAATTTTTAGCTCAAAGTATATTGAGGGACCTGAAAATCAAGGTTGATTAAAGATGGTGAACTCAAGTCAGCTGACATCCCATAGTTTGGCAGACCTTGGTCATGATTTTTGCTATATTTGAGTTTTTGTCGAAAATTATTACTAGAAGGTGATGTTTTTATATGTATGGGAATTTCATTCCAGCATTTAGCTCCGTAGAAGCGCACTGACCTAATACCGTATTGCAGAGTATTTTTTGTGTTAGGAAATATCATTTTTTGTAGCTTGCCACGTACCATATTGATGAACAGATCCAACAAAGTCAAAGAAAGAATTGAAATAAGAAGGAGAGTTCCTATTTACACAATCATAAGCAAAACTAAGTAGTTTCAACTTGAAGAGATAATGTAGTTTTAAAATCTTTAAATCGGAAAAGATGGGAGAGGATGGTGAAGTGAATTATGCAAATGTAATTGCTCTAACAACCCTTTTCTGAAACAAGATAGTGAGTGGATTGATGTAGGTCTCGTAGGTGAGACCCCAAACCAAAATTCCATATTGCAGGAAAGGTGAGAATAAAGAATCATAAAGACATATCAGAACATTTTTGGGTAAGAAGTGTCTTACTTTGAAAACATTCCACAAGTTTTAGCCAGTTTTTTAGACAACTCGTTTAAGTAATACTTCCATGACAAATTTTCATTTAGAAGAACACCAAGAAATTTGACGTAACGAGTCTGATTCACAGGAAGATTTCCAATTTTAATACTGGCAGTTTCAGGGCAAGAATGTTGGGGAGACTTAGAAATTATAAAGTTGGTTTTATTAATTTATTTATTAATTATTTATTTATTAATTAATTTATTAATTAAATAAAGTTGACAGCTTGTTAACATCAATCCATTTTTGAATTTTTTTCAATTCCTTGCTAACAACACTCAACTAAAGTAGTTGAGCAAAACTTTAAGCTTCATAATAGATGTTAGTATCATCAGCAAATAAATAGAAGGCTAGCTTTGAAGATACAAGAGGTAAGTCATTGATGTAAATTAAGAAAAAGAGAGGACCAAGAACTGAGCCCTGTGGAACCCCACAGGTAACATTGAGACAACTAGAGTTAGAGCCATTTATTGAAACATACTGTTTCCTATCTGTGAGATATGCTTTAAACCAATCTTGGGCAGTTCCTCTAATTCCGTAATGCTCAAGCTTCATCAAGAGAATATCATGATTCAATGTGTCAAAAGCCTTTTGCAAATCAAAAAATATTCTACAACCGGATTTTCTATTGTCTAACAAGTTTTTGATTGCTTCAGTTAAAGTAACCAGGACATGGTTAATGGAATGGCTAGCACGAAAACCAAATTGCAATGTTTATAAAATTTCATGCTTTTCTAGGAAGTTATAGAGGCGCTCATACATGACCTTTTCTGTGATTTTGCTGAAAACAGAGAGAAGAGAAATAGGTCTGTAGTTTGAGGCTGTAAATAAACAGCCTTTCTTAAAAAGTGGGATAAATTTTGCCAACTTCATTTGGTCAGGAAATATTCCAGTCTGAAATGATTCATTTATGATTTGAGAGAGTGGAGCAGAGATCAGTGAAGGGAAACATTTCAAAACTTTCATAGGAATATTGTTAGGTCCAAGAGACTTTCTAGATTTTAGTGCAGAGATTATATCAGATATTCAAAAGGAACTGAAGGTGCTGTGAAAAAGGAATTTCTATTTTTGTCACCCATGAGGTCTGAGGGTGACTTGTTGGTTCTTGGAATACTTTTTGTGATATCATGGGAGACATTAAAAAAGAACTTATTAAATATGTTTGCAATAACCACGGAATCTGGTGTAATGTTACCATTTGCGTCCTTAAGCTAATTTATCACATTTATATTACTTGATTTCCTGACATCAATAACTGATTTAATTCCTGACCATAACTGTTTCATGTTGTTGCTGTTCTTTTAAAAGTAGTCATAGAAGTAGCTGGCTTTACTTTTCTTCAGGGATACTGAAATCTGATTTCTACATTTTTTGTGAAGATCAATAAGATCTTGATTGTTGTTCTTTTTAAGTTTTTTAAGAATTCGATCTCTGCCGTTATCGGCCATTAGCATCATTTTATTGATTCTGCCATTAATCCATGGTTTTTTTCTGAATTTGATGTATTTTTTGTCAGTTTTTTCAAGGGAGCATGGTTTGTTACCACCTCATCAAGGTTGGATAGGAGTCTGTTGAACTTAGCATTTACATCTACTTTCATTTATGTATGAAAGGTCAAGATTTGCAACATCATTTAGGAGATTTTCAGCATTGAATTTAGAAAAATCGTGTTGAAAATATTTCAAATTCTTAAAGGTGATCTCAGCATGCATGTTTGACAATCAAAAATTGTGGGAAATGGTCACTTATTTTTGTCAAAATATCACCATTTATGGTTTCATTATCTGTGATATTTGAAAGAATATTATCAATGAGAGTAGAAGAATGTGCAGATACCCTAGATGGATGAATGATGTATGGCAGAAATTGCTCCGAAAAAAGAGAATTAACTCAATTTGTGATAGATGTACTGGAGTTATAATTCAGTAGATTGATATTGAAATCTCCAAGGATAAAGACATTTTTATTAAATATAGCTAGGTTGGACAGAGTTTCTTGCAGATACTCATTGAAGCTATCAAAATTTGACTTTGGATGATGATAAACACAACAAAAAAGGTATAAGAAAAGAATTCTAGCTGATATCTAAGGTGCCATTTAATAAGGACAAAAACGTACCATTAAAGCAATCAATATATTAGCTCACTGCTAAAATACTGTTTTCCATCTTTTTTAATAAATTCACTTTCCTGAATTCCACAAACCGTATGTACACATAATACCTGTGTTGGTTGGTATAGTACAATAAGTAAGACAAATAGATAAAATATACTAAATTAAAGAGCAAGCGTGTGAATTAGGAATATATCAGACAGATAAATGAATGCTGATGCCAGGTTTTTCTAAAGTCGTTAAATGTCAATTAAAGAGAAATGGGAGCATGGCCTAACCTAACCAGATAAATAGTTAGGATACACAATAAATTGACGAGAAATGTCAATGACGCGATCACTTGGCCCAAACGTTGGTATAGTAGAAAGCTTGCACAAAGACAATATCTAAGCATACAAAGCGATCGTCTAAACCCTTAGCGTATCAGATTAATGACATATTTACTCACTTTGGCATTAACTCGAACTTTTCAACTGTTTACCTCAGCCTTCAGCACAACACCCAACATTCCATGCGCAACGCGTTTGAAGAAGCAATATCAAGTGACGTAATGCCAACCGCTGACCAAAGAGGCCCGAATGAAGAAAAAGGAAGATGGAAGGTAGTGTAATCGTGCGAGGTGTGAGAGGTGCTTCTATTTATATTATTGAGATGGTAGAGCAAGGAAACACACTCTTTACATTTTCATATCTTGATAATCATTCAAGATTTATAACTTAACTGAACGAGGATACGAAGATAACTGAACTACGCTTTACAAAGCTTCGGATTAAATAGTACTTGTCACGTGATTATAAAAGGTCATGTGATCTGGGGAGCGTCCTACTACATCCTCCCCCTTCTTATTTAAAAAAATACAGCATACGTATTTTTTTTTACAATTTTTTTTTTTTGCGTTAACGTTAATTAAGAAAAACATACTGAAAGCGACAATATCCATGTTAACGACGTAAACGAGAAAATTTGTCTACATCCAATGAGAGAACATAGATGCCCCCGTGTGGAGCACCTTCTAAATGTAGAAACTGACATGACTTAACAAGACCACGGAGTCGCCCATGTTTAGCTAGGATTTCTCTACTAGGTGGGAACGACTCGTAAAGAAATTTACATGCTTCTGATGCTACAGCGGACTTGGAGGGTTTACACTCTAAAAACGTTCCTAATCGAAATGCCACATCGGCTAAGTCCTTATTTGGGGAAGCAGGGTGTACTGGAGTGACACTTTCCTGTGACGAGTCTACGTGCTCGACTGTAGCTAAAGGAGAAATATCAGACGGTGTTGTGTCGGGTACGACCACAATCTTTTCTACATTAACTGGATGTGACCAGTCTTGTCCTGAGGTGGCATGGCGCAAATTTAAAAGATCCTGGCGACCATGTGGATGGCCTGTGACGATGAAAGGACCATCGAAGTTGCGCAGAAAGCGAGATTTTTGGCCGCTTTTGGAGGGAGCGGACTCCTTGCGCATGTAAACGAGTTTGCCATCTGGCACGTGTAAATCGCGCGAAGCGATGTCGTACAATTCGCGTTGGCGACGGCGCAAGTCTGCTTTTATGGCGCGAAATTGTTCATGTGCTTGTTGCATTCTGGCTATAAGATGATGAGCATAATGATCAGCAGGCAAAGACTGAAGTGGAAGATCCAAAGATATGGTTTCAGGCGAGGGAGCATGGCGTCCAAAGACTAGAAAGAATGGTGTGATGTCAGATGTACCTGAAATAGGCGCAGTATTATGTGCATAAACTGCAGGCTGCAAGAAATCTTCCCAGCGATCCTGATTCTTTTCGCAAAAAATTCCGATAGCGCTGTTAAGAAATCGATGTACACGTTCTGTAGCGCCGTTCATGCGCGGACGAAAACCTGAAGTGTATACTTGACGAATAGAAAGCAAAGATGTTAACCTATGCATAACTGCATTAAGAAATTCACCACCGCGATCGCTCTGTAAAACTGATGGAAATCCTAGTTGAAGAAGTACATGATCTAACAATGCGCGTGCAGCTGTTGTTGCTGTTTTGTCCGGGACAGGTATAGCGCGAAGGAAGTTAGAAAACGGGCACACAGCTGTAAGAATCCATTTATTTCCCGATGGTGAAGTTGGGAGTTCACCTACATAGTCCACGCCCAGGGTGTGGAAGGGATGTTCAAAAAGTCTTATCTGCATAGGACCGTGTGGCTGATTAAGCGTTTTAAATTTGATGCAATCTGGGCATCGGCGGATCCAATTGCGGACATGCTTGGACATATTGCGCCAATAAAAGTCGCGGGAAAGGCAATTATAAGTTGCATCTCTACCACGATGCATTCCTATAGGACTGTTATGATATGCATATAGCAGATGGCGCTGAATGCTGGTATCCGATGGAACAAAAATGCGTAAATGATCAGGTTGAGCCATAAATTCATCTGAATAATAAAGAAGACCATCAATAACTTTAGCACGGTTAGCTACGGTCATCACCCAACGTTTAGTCTGTTTATCAAGGCTGCTGATACAATCAGGAGAACTGTTATGGACAAGAAAGAGTATAAGGGGTCCTAAGTATTTATCCTGTCGTTGTAGTTTAGCAAAATCAATCCTGTTGAGGTTCAGTGGATTGAGAAATTTTAAGTCATTGGTCCACTCTGTTGTAGATGGCTGAGCAGTAGTGACTGTAAGATACGTATGTGTATTGTTGTTGGGTTTTACGTTTGTGGAAACTTTATGGTGAGATGTAACTTGTGAATCGTTTGTAGAAAGAGCTGCATTGCAGGCCAGTGATAAGCAATTCAGGTTATCGTTGCAGTTTGTCTCTAGATATGGGATGTCAAGAGAAAGTTCTGTAAGAAAAAAATCAACTGTATCTGCTGGAGGAATGAACAACATATCTGCAGCTACCGAGGGTAGGGGTAAAGGAGCACGACTTAAAGTATCTGGAACAACGTTACCTTTACCGGGGCGGTGTTCAATCGTGAAATCGAATTCTGCCAAAGATAAACACCAACGTGCCAACTTCGAATTTTGTGGCGCAATTGAAGAGAGAAATTTCAAGTTAGCATGGTCTGTAATGACTTTGAATTTGCTACCCATTAGATAGGGGCGAAAATGCTCTAAAGCCCATTTGACGGCAAAAAGCTCTTGATGAGCAGTAGGCCATCGAGATTCTGTAGGGGTAAATGATCTAGAGGCATAGCGAACGGGTCTAAGCTTGTCATTTTTGTGCTGAGCGAGCATAGCACCACACCCAAATTTGCTGGCATCGGTATGTACTTCAAAACTTTTGTCGAAATCAGGATGAACAAGCATAATATCAGGAGAGATAAGCGCATTTTTAAGATTTTGGAATTCTGCCTCGTGTGGAGGTGTCCATGAAAAGGAGGCTTTCTTAGACAATAATGTACGCAAATGTTGTGTCTTAGTTGACACGTTAGGAATATATTCCCGGAAATAACCAACCATTCCAAGAAAACGTTTAAGTTGTGACGCATTGCGGGGTGGCGGGAAATTTGAAATTGCCTCTGTCCCTTTTTCAGTAGGGAATCGACCCTCTGTGGTCACTTTGTGGCCTAAAATTTGGAGATCCTTAGAAAAGAACACGCATTTAGAAGGCTTGAACTGTAAGCAAATTTATCTGCGCGTTCAAAAATCTTTTTATAATGCTCCAGGGCTTCATCATATGAGGCAGACCATGAAATACAATCGTCGATATAAATGATGAGCCACTGGTACAAATAGTCCGAAAACACTGTATTTAAGACGCGTTGGAAAGTTTGTGGCGCTGTTTTGAGGCCAAAGGGCATCTTTATAAATTCCCATAATCCCAAATGCGTGGCAAAAGCTGTTTTGTGTCTGTCCTTTGGGTTTACAGCTAATTGCCAGTATCCACTAGCTAAATCAAGCTTAGCAAAAATGTTTCCTCCACTAATTGCGTCTAAAATATTTGCGACAGACGGTATAGGATAGCCATCGCTAGATGTAACTGCATTAAGCCCGCGGTAGTCGACAACAAAGCGAAGAGGCTGTGGCTTACCCTTTTCTAGGGGCTTACGGACAAGTATACAAGGTGCCCCCCACGCAGAGTTGCTTGGACGAACAATGTTTAACTTAAGCATACGTGCAATTTCAGCCTTAATAGCGGAAAGTTCTGCGGGGCTTTTGCGATAAGGAAGGCGATAGACAGGAGGAGAATCCCCCGTAGGAATATGATGATAAACGCCCTTAATGGTAGACAGAGGTGAGTCAGGCAAATGAAAAACATGTTGGAAGTCATGCAACAAGGACTTGAATTGCGTTAAAATGCTACGCGGCACATGTGCATACGATGGCGCGTCAAGTTCTAAGGCATGTAAAAGTTTGCCAAAATATTCCTCAGAATGCGGCTGGATATTGCTTTTTCCTATTGGAGAAAATGAATTAGCCTGATGACGCTCGGTACATTCTAAATACGGCGACAGAAAAGACGAATCAAAGGCTAGATTATCCTGTGCCATTTCCTGCAAGTTAGAGGTGTGAATAGCATGACCGCCATTAACGATCTTATCAGGATCTAAGGTCGGGAGGTCATCGATATTACGGCGGGCGGCATGGGTTGCAGAAACTAATGAATACCATTGGTTTGCTACCTGAGAAGCAGTAAAGTCTGCGGCATCTTCTAACACATTAGTATCAGTGCTCAATACAGGCCTAATGTTTCCGATCGAGACATTTAATGGCAAAATCGCAGACTCTTTAGTAGAGTGAATAACAACCGTTGTTGAGTACAAAGATTCACTACTCAGTGTACTATCCACTAAAGTTTCTGAAACGGGCGATATTGACGTCAGTAAACAAGTTGTCTGCGAACCAACATCAGAGCGAACTGGGCGACTAGGCCGACATTTTGGGTAGCTGGAAGCCAAAAAAGGGGACATGACAGAAGTGCACAAATTTGTCATGCTCGGTAACCCAGAAAGGGAAATAGGACCACTAAGGGTAGTGACCCCCGGTAATATTTTATTACCTTCCAGCCAAAGGTCACCCGAAGCCGAAAATAGGGAGGAACCCACCAGCGATGTTGCAAGCAACATGCAAACAGTAACAAAATTAAAGCCCCTGTGGAGGCGAACAGGTTCACCTGGCTGTGTTGGTAGGGCAGTCAACAAACATGTAACATTAGCAGTAGAAGTAAAACTACTTGTAGGAAAATGCAAATGTGGAAATGCATGAATAGGATTAGAATCGTGACACTTGACTTCGAATTCTAACCCTTTATCGGCAAAGTATATAGTTAGAGCACGAGAATTAATACGGGCATCGGTCTTGCGTAAATGATTTTGGCCAAAAAGTACCGGCCAAGATAAATTTGGCACGACAAGCATAGAAAAAGTTGCAGAACGCCCATTTTCAAATTGCAAGGGAACTTGCATTATACCTACGGCTTTAAGAGAGGCCGAGGGACTGGCAACAGAGACTTTAACGGGCTGCTCTAAGCGCGAAAACTTGAGGTCAGGGCGTGTTTCAAGAACTTTATCGGCGTGCGCTTTGCTAACTAATAACACTGAGCAGCAAGTGTCGAGAGGCAAAGGGAGAGAAACCCCAGCTGACGAAAC